AACGAAGGTGGTACCCAAGGTTGCCAAATCGCAAAACTTGTGCCAAATACTACAGGAGTTGTCCTCATGTGTGAGACTGAAGCATCCAGTGGCTACAGAAGAACACAACCATCAGCCAAGATGAGCTTGCAATTGCAGTTATTGGGGGCAAAGGTGTGTGTGACGAATTCGATGGACAGAGAACAAGGTTGTCAGTTTCTCACAATGGAGAGCCCCTCACAGTACAGGCATCGTTGTTCAACATGGGTATGAAATTTCAATCCACATGTTCAAGGTCGCTCCAACACCCGTAGGAACAACATGAGAACAGATGCGTACGAATGATGCTCCGGTTTTGGTACAATGGCTTGCATCAGCCAGTCATTCTGGCAGGACAAACCCAGAAAGATATGACCAAATTGACCACCCAGCAAAATGATGCAGAGCAGAAGACAGCTTTGTAAACCGACAATCCAATGATATTCCCAAGAAATTGTTGGTTAAATTTCATATATCGTCCATATTTTCACCACCAAATATTTATCTACATTCATAGAGTTGGATGATGGGAAAATTTACGACGGAAACCCTTGCAAATTGATGGTGAAACCCACGGTTTCCGGTTCAGATTTTCCCTTCAACCAATCCATTGACATATGCTCTCCACTGGCCACATCAAAAAAAAAACATGGCAAAGATTTCATGATTCGACGATGGATCCCAGGCACCACCCGGTGGCGCCCAAACGCCTCCGCCATCACCCATGGCGACAGTGGGATCCTCATTCCGTGGAACAAAAACTGGAAATTTGGGAGTGAAAACTTTGAAAAACTGAGGGGGAATTGGGAGCAGAATGTCAGAAACTCTGAAAACGTAAAAGTGGGACATTCAGAAAAACAACCTCCATTGAAATTTGAGCATGAAAAGTGCATCAACACATGGGATGTAAGCTTAGTGAACCATTGGTAAAAACAAATGTGGAGCTGAACCATTCTTAGGAGGGATCAGTTGGAATCGGTTGGGGTTTCTATACGTTCCCTGTGACATGGCTGCTTCAAACGGTCGGATATTGGACATTTATTTTTTTACCTCTTTATCTCACCCAGTTTCCCCTTGTACATGGGGTGTTCGGAGCATTTCGGAGCATCCCTGAAATTGGAGCCACTAGGAGCTTCCCAACAACATGAAAGATAACATGTTTGTTCAAGTCTTGGTTTATTTGTTGGTTACATGGCTGGTGGCTCAAGTCGGTGGCACCCCAGAACAACAATCCATTGCGTGAGGGGCTTCTGGGATTTCAATTTTTGTCCATCAGCAGTTGATTTTGCTTTGATGGGCCTGTACTAGTTGTACTCCAAGTTGGACCTAAACCAATCCCAAAGAAAGACCAATGTAATGTATCAATCTTTGAGTAGGATTTTGCTCACATCTCTTTCGTCTGGGGGTCCCTAAGTGTATCTATCTATCTATCTATCTATCTATCTATCTATCTATCTATCTATCTATCTATCTATCTATCTATCTATCTATCTATCTATTTTTTCTATCTATCCAGCTATCTATCTATCTATCTATCTATCTATCTATCTATCTATCTATCTATCTATCTACCTAATGAAAAATCTTTTCTGATCCTATCTTATCTCTCTATCGATCTATCTATCTATCTGTCTATCTATCTATCTATCTATTTATCTATCTATCTATCTATCTCTCTCTCTCTCTCTCCTGTCTCTCCTTTCTATATCAATCTATATCTCTATCTCTATCTCTCTCTCTCTCTATCTATCTATCTATCTACCTATCTATCTATCTATCTATCTACCTATCTATCTATCTATCTATCTAAATATATTTATTTGTCTATCTATCTATCGATCTGTCTATGTGTGCGTATAATTCTATGTCATATGTTTACCTTTTTGTTCACCTATATGCCGTTCCCTTGTCGCCCCGAGATGGCCGGCTGGCAGGAGGTGCAAAAAGCCTGATTGGGGGCAGCAAAAACCAATCATTGGACATACACCATGGGATTTTTTAATGGGACGTGTAATAGGACACACGCGCGCACACACACATTATATATATATATATATCAATATGTGAAAAATATTTACATATATATATATAGATATAGTGTCTTTTTGGGGGGATCTATAAAATTAGATTCATGATGGTTCTAATGGGGATTCATTGACTTCAGGCGACTGTAATGGGAAATTGAACATGAATAATTCATGCGGATATCATAGATAATGATAATCTGGTTGGGGGTGGCATCCTGTTTTTTCAGGGGCATTCGGCGTTCGGCGGAAATTCTATTGTAACCCCAAAATGGACAGAACAGTTGGAAACCTGGGATGAAGGGCATATATTATTCCATCCTGGAAACGCGTTTCCATTTTTTTGGGACCTCCGTAGATCTCTTTGCAATGTGTGCATTCATAGGCTGAAGGCTCACTTAGTCACAATCACCGAGACTATCAATCCTCGCCACAGCAAGCAGCCCTCACTATATTCAGAAAGAAAATAAGGACCACTGGTTTCAAGCAGGCTGGTGGTGACTGGACGAAAAACTGAGAGATACCCCACTAAAATAATCAAAAATATCCCACAAAACAACATGGTTTGGGCCTACTTCCAAAATAATGTTGGCTGCTGATTGGTGTATAATTGCCCCCTTCAAACAGTAGAGGGAAAACTGGATCTTGGCGGAGTAGACTGCATTGACATTGGAACTTGCCTTTCTTGTTTCATTCATTCTCTCCTTTGTTCTTCCTTCCTTTGTTTCCTTCCTCTTTCCTGCTTTCATTCCGTCTACATTTTTTTGAAATCATTCGTCATGACCAAAGTGATTTCAACAACTCCAAATACAAGTTGCTCAAGTACTGCAAGCAGCTATCAACAAAAAAAATAGCAACGTTTCTTACCAGGTTGTATCCTGGACATCGCAACTAAGTCGAACTAATCGATAGTTCTTTTACAAGGAGTTCCTGTACTGAGGGGCAACAGTGCCGCGGGGAGCCTACGGGTATGGCACCTGCTTTTCTAAATTAGTTTCACATAAGTTTTCACAAACTATACCTATGGCACTCAGGAAGAGGAAGAAGAAAAATAAAATTCACGTTTTTTTTTCCATCCTTTTTCATCCATTTCCTGTTTTGCGTATTTTATTCTCGTGATCTTTGGAAATTTTAGCGTTCTTTGGCAGCGGTGCAAAGTAAAATACACATCAATAGTAAAGGAGTGACGGCTAGGAAGGTGTTTGACATTATTCAGTACCATCGGGACAGTTTCATTTTGCTGTATTTGGGTAGCTCATGGGGCACCAGTTTAAAAAATGTTTGGGTTTGGGTGTGGTAAAGAAATGGATCCTTTGGAATCCTTTGCGTTCTTTGGAAGTGGTGCTAAGTAATTCATTCAGATGCAAACAGCAGTGCTAAAGGAGTGGTGCTTTGTGGCATTCACCAACCAAAAACAACCAAATCTTCCAGAACAGGATCAGCTCTCAAAAAACCATGCCAATCACAGGTCACTGAAATATTTTTTTGGTTCCTTGCAACAAGTACGTTCCATTCCACTAGTCAGTGTACTTACCCCTGTGGTTTTGGTCGAAGCTTCATCCAGTTCTATTCTGGAGTCGAAGGGAAGCTTTTCTGGTAGTACGGTAGGTACTTGGACCTGTGCATCCTTCCTACATTTCCTAGTGGGTAGGCTGTAGATACTGGTTGTGTTCAACCTACTAAATGAAAATTCATGGTTCCAACTTATTCAATCAAAGAGAAACTGATCAAGATTTTTAGGGGAGGTCGAAAGTACCAAGATTTTTAGGGGAGGTTGGTGAAACAATGTGAAACAGATTCCAGAAACTTGGATCAAATGGTCTTGTTCATTTTCTGTAGAGAAGCCCGAAAGTTACATCCCCATGTTCTGGTCTGAAACCAACTTTGCGCTTACATATCTTATCATATCTTCATTGTTTGGGGCGAAATCCACATGTTTTTGTTTGAATATTCTCGTGTAGTTATTTGGATGGTTGTTACTTGCCTGAAGCACCTCTTCATTTCCTCATGTGGTTTATTGTTCGGTATTTTTTAAAGGATGGATGGACATTCCCAATGAAATGGCACACTTTGACATTGACCATACATGAATGGTGTACCCTCTGGTAAATTTAACCGTTTTGCTATGGAAAAAATAACCATGATTAACAGGTAAACCGGTGAACCAGTGAACCATCTATAAGTATATTAAAGGGCCACTTTCCATAGCTATAGCCAAAGGGGCATTAGAATTGATGATTTCACCCTAGGCGTAGTGTTTTTTTCATATTCCGCATGCATATTCGTGTTGATCTGTGCAAATGCAAGTGGTGAACAAACTTCTGAACACCACTATCCTTCTTAAATAGGTTGTCAATTTCATAAATAATATTTAAGCAAACAAGACCATATCAGCAAAACAATGTCATTTACCGAGCAAACACAACCACACTTTGGCAGGTGGAAGTTCCAGGGGCAACCCTGCGTCCTGAGGTGCAGGGATTCGCGATTCGCTACATCCGTTATGTTTTTTTTTAAAAATGGTATTATGGATATAATTAACTGATATATCTGATATATACATCGATATACATCACTAACAATAGTGACATGGGGTTGAAATTGAAGAAGTTTGGGAACCCAAATTTCAAGGGTTAATCATCCGGTTCCCTGTAACCTCTTTTTGGGAACACATTCTCAAACACCAGTATAGAACTGAACTGCTGTACCCGTTTTTTTGTGCAGATCTACAGTTGGAATGGTAAACAACTTCATGACTGTGGTACCACCTTGCAAGGATGTGAGAAGACATTTGAAGGTCATGACAGGTCTACAATGGTCCAAGTCCACACACTACAGGGTTTGATGTCACACAGCTCATGAGACAGTGAAAAAGGCCGCGCGCCTCTGTTCCATGCCGCCCGTAGTTCTTGGCTCTCCGGTGACAAGACACGTTCCGTATCTCATTCCGGAGCCACCATGTCTACGCGTGCCCTGGTAAAATTGGCGTGGCGGCATCCAAAATAGATAATCCCGTACGAATAAATACGTTAGATTTTTTTTACAGATTAGAGTATTTAGAGATTTAGAGTAACCAGTTATATAATATAGACCATTATAAAGCGGACACCCGCTTTCAACTTTTGAAATTCAAGGTGTTTCAGGTGTGATACGGGCCAATGCCTCCCCATTCACCAATCGCTTGCTTCATGGGTTGTCTTGCCGTAAGCTTTCATACCATTTTGGCATATTTTGGCAACGCCCATCCCACACTGGTGTGTCATGCATGCTTTTCAGTGACTGATTAGGTGCTAGTAGGCACCAAGAGTTGTAGCATTGGAATCGCAACTTGGAACAAAACGAGTTGGAGATGATTCATGATCTTCCAAGGACACTTTTCATTACTCAAAAAAAATGCCAAGGCCGCATTTATTGAATTGAAGGGGCTGAAATTTTGTACCCTTGACTTAAGGTTTCCCTGTTGACCATGGCAATTTTAGGGAATGGTTGGGTGTATTTTTGCTGTGTCATCTTCTTCAATTACTGGATGAGCCTTGGTAAAGGGTAGGTGACCCCAAGACATGCCAAAGGTTTTATATAAGTTTTGATTTGAGGAATGTAAAGCTGGACTGAGCTGACCTTAATATACTGGCAACCTTGGGCCCTTGGAATCAGACATGCAGGGGCACCATGGTGTTCAGGAATGGCTGGTCGTTCAGTTGCATTTGATGCTCGGCAGACGGCCATAATTGTTGGGATGGCCGCATCCCGACCTTGGGACCTTGAGCGCCAATCAGAGGCTCAGCAGTCGACCGCTTGGCGATATGTAGCCAGGCAACATGTCTAGCGGAGTAGTAGCCTCCTGACTAAGATAGTAGCTGTAGCTATATGGAAATCCATGGATTGTTTTGTTGGAACTGATCTGCACATGATGGATCTTCCATATCTAATAGCTTCCCGAAGAGTATAATCAAGCCACTTACCAGCTTGCCAAGCCATCAACATGCATCTAATGATCCTGGATTCGCATATGTTTCATTATGTTTCCTCTTTCCCCGTAGTGGATCCGCCAGTTGGAAGATCTATCACCAGGGAATAGCTGCAGGATCCACAATAGCTATAAACATCTATAACCATCCCCAACGTGTTTTTGCTTGAATATATTTTTTCAAGTACACTCCTACTTGGGATTATTTGCAATCCCCTGCTTTTATCATGATCATCATTGATCATTGGGGTGTTTCTTTCCTATGGCCCACTGGCGCGAATCCATGCAGCGCCAAGGACATAGTTTCGGGAGGATCATTGTATGAGGCGGGGGACGGCTGTGACTTGAGAAAGTCAAACCATGTCATTTTAGGTATACCCCATTTCCAATAGATTGTGATATATTAATTAAAATGATTATTAGGACAAATTCATGTATCATTGTCTATCAAGCTTGGCCGCCATAGATTGAGGCACGTTGAGTCTGTGAGTCCGGGAGAACTGCGGACTTTCAACGTGAACCTGCCACTAGTCGATTTTGAAGCAGCAGCATCACAAATGACTCCAACGAACAGCAAGGAACAAATATGAAAAACCGTTTCTGTTTTTGTTTCCTCTCCCATGGATTCCCATGGCCCATATCCCTTTGTTGGCTTTAGCTTTCTGGCAAGCTTTTGGCATAGCAAGTATCAAGCAACATCAACCAACCCTCTCTTGAACCTCCAACACACCTTGAAGGGTGATGATTCAAACCCCCTCACAATGGATTTCATGGGCCCACCTTTGTTGTGATGACGTGGGTGGGCGAGGCTTCTATAGATTTCTATAGTAGCGGTGGGCCTACAGAGACTTGAGATACGGAGCGGGCAGCATACAGTATAGTCGTATAGCAGTTGAAATGCTAGCTACCAAGTATAGGAAGCAGACGGTATCGTATGGTAGTATCACAGTAATGGCCGGTAAATAATACTGGGGTAACAGGCAGCTATATTTACAGCTAGCACGCCTGGCAGAGTGGGAAGTATGTAAGATAGCGCCTAGGCAGCCTACAGATGCCTACAGCGACCACCTGGAACCTGGGATGCCAACTGCCAACCTGTCAGGCAGCAGATGCAGCGATATGCCGATCTTTCACCGACCCCTTTCCTTGTGGAAAGGTGGAACTTATTATTGCCATGGACGCTTGGGCCTAGCTGGGCACTGCTTGGTCAGGGACTTGAAATATTGACCAAATGGTTCTTGGTTGTGACCTTCCATCGTTTAGTGACAGTGGGTCACATTGAATTCAGACTTAGTCACCACCCTTGTTGGCAGTTTCGAATATCCATGAAACATGGGGGCCCAAGAATGCTGAGATATGTAAAATATGAAGAGGATTGTAGAGGTTTGCTTTGATTTTGTTGCCCGTATTTGACATAAATGGGGCTTTGATAGATTTATTCTGTTCCGATCTGTTCCAGTCCTTGTTGGGATGGTTGGGGCGCTATTGGCCCCTCGTACTGGATCTATTGATCTTGGGGGCCCTTATGGCCTTTGTCAAAGGGAACTTGAAGTGAGGAGGCGGGGATTACTGGGGCAAAGTGTGATATAGTGTGATGGTGAACAGCCCGCAGCCCTCTTGGACTATGGTTGCTGCTGCCTTGTACATCCTTGGGTTATTGTCGGTTGCCGTGCTCAACCGCATTTTATGTGTCAACTAGTTATATAGGTCGCAGTTCTTTTGAGTTTGCCCAATCTATCAGACATTATGCCTGCAAATGTGATGTTTCAAAATGGTGCTTTTCGATGTTTTTAGATGTAATGTTTGAGTTTTCATCCCCGGAAACTTGCAAAACCGGAGTCCATGGAATCCTAGTGGTCCTAGTGGAAGCCTGGAAATGATGGAGCAAACATCATCGATTTCACATCCTGGAAAAACCTGTCTATCATTTTGGGGACATGCACTATCCGGTGATTAGAAGGGAGCAGTTCGGAGCAGTTGGGGCCATGTTTTCGGAGTCACAATGTTCTCTCATGGCTGTTGCGTAAACCCAGAGATTGATGGATGACGTATGCGTACACGCAGAGAATTTGTCGTTCTTTGATCGAACGTATTTTGCATTTTGTTTCGTTGTTTTTTTGTCTGAGCTACAGAAATCCATGCGAACATATTCAAAGTGTATACCTCCTGCCAAGGAAATCGTTGGCTGTGGGGAATCACAATTACTATATGTAAACCATGGTAAATCATGGTAACTCATTGAATGCCATGGGCCATTTTTGCGCCATAGCAGTTTTTATCACCGGAGGCGGAAAAAAGCAACGAGCATCCTAAGGACGACCCATGCAGTAGCATGGTCTTTGCTAACTTTGCACAGAAGGCATGGTCCGTATCGCTGAAGCTTAGGATGTTCTAAGGCGCAGAATGGACACGTCAAGACAGCAAGTGATGGAAGTTGTCGGCAAAGCGTCAAGCACTCGTCCGAGCAGGCAAAGGATAGCACAGGTTTGGATAGGATGGTGGCATGTGCAACTTGCAAAATGTGTTGATGTTGTTTTCTACAAGGTGCTTGCTACACTTGGTTGGCGGTTTATTTTTTCCCTCTCATGATGGGGGGGTCGGCGGGTGATATGCCCAACCAACGGGCGTTCTCAGGCCGAGCTTCACTACAAGGTGTGCGAAACCCGCTTTGAGTTCCGAGAGGCATTGAAGAAGGTGTCTCAGCCGCGGCTGTATGCGCTACCAAAATGGAATGATTGAAGTGCACATGGCAGAAACTATCGGTTCCGGATGTTTCTGGTTTCGGTTTTTAACCATCAAAATGCAGATTTGTTAACGGAAAGCAAAAAGTAAAGGACTGTGTCACAATCCCATATCGAGGTTATTGTATAGTTGAAGGTCGTTCCTTTTTACATGTGCGTCGGATATCAAAACCATGTCTGAATGGAAACATTTTTTCTTGAGGAACGATTGCGTCCAATTGCTCAAGACCTGTTGGAGTCATCGTTCCCATCGGCTGGTTTGGGCTGGTGATATATCCCTATGTTTGATTATGTCGTTTTTTTGGGTTATACCACTTATATACATCCCCAATTTGTTTAGCGTTGGTTTCTTAATTCAGATGCTTTATCAATATCTGCCTGGACCCTTCAAGTACCTAAGAGTACCCATACAAATTGGCACTTTTCATAGTTTTTCCATACTTTTCGTAGTTTTGCCCTATTTTTTTTGTGGCTACTTGGAGGGTCTCTCTTTGGGAGGCTCGGCTGGAGCATCCAGCAAAACCGCTAGCCATTGTACTGGGAGAGCCTGGACGTCAAGGTGTTTTTTTCATGAGGCCAATTGAATCATAAACTGCCCCTAAGGGTTTATTATATATTATAATTATATTGGGCATACTGCGGCATAATTGAGCCAAGGGTTCCAGATTGCAGGGTTCCAGACGGTCTTCATGGTGCTTATTATCTTATCCATCTATCCGGTGCTGAATGAAGGGAGAAGTTCCGCGTGATTGTGGAAGGGGCATCGGCATCTTCCCACATGCAAATCGGGAACCAGTTGGAGCTACGAGATCTACGAGTTTCCCAAGCGCATGATAGCAATGGTGATATACAATGGGGAAGCCCACCATTATGGCAAGATCCATAGGTGTGTCTGAAGAGGATTAGCCTCATTTCTGGCAATTTTCAGTGGGAACATTATATATGATTCCTGTGAGTAGTGGATGGACCGGGGTACCCCATTGATGGACTGGGGTATCCTATTTATCCTATTTTTTGACGAACCCAGTCAATATTGCCTGAGTAGCTTAAGTGATTATCTGATTGCCTAGATTTGTTTCTGATTTATTTTGCTTTGCATAATTTGAAATGGGGAGGACTGGGGATAGATACCTTTGCCAGCCAAAAGGATGAATCCGCTTTTCAGCCTAGAGCTCGGCGCTCCAGTTACTGTATATAAATTCCAGAGGTCATTCGAGCTGGGAGTGCTTTTGCATTTCTGACCAGATATGCCCAATTGTTTGTGTTTTTGCTGCCGGTAACATTAAGGGAGGGCGCAGGCATCCTGAAGTAAGGTCGCAACAATCCCCAAAAAATGAAGACTGGAACACTAAAGATCACGAACACTTCGTTGATTAAGGGTCTAAGCTCCTGCAATCAAACATGGCTGGGAAATCCCCAAACTAAATGGGCATCAGTCATGTTTGATTAGCTCTGGATGCTGTGGCAAATCCGGTAGGCAAAACCTGCAATAACAATGTGGATCAATCGGGTGACTCTCCCATTTTGAGACTTAAAATAAGATTCTATCCAGATATTCCGCATTAAATGGGGAGCCTGGGAGCAACTAAGAGCTTACCAATCACATGACAGTGATAAAAGTATATATATATAGTATCAATTGCCAGTGACAATATCATAACATTCATTGAATAAGTGGAGGGACGCCAGGCGTCTACTGAGGGAAATCGTCTTCCTAACCTGGGTATATCATAACCCTTCATCAATCTTAATTATATATCATATGTGTGTTTGGTTTACTTTTTAGTGCGTCAGATTGCTTTTGCTCCTAATCCTATGATTGTAGGTTCATGCTTAACTTTAGGTTTGTGGTATGTTTACATGATTGCCTCTCTCTCTCTCTCTCTCCCTATGAATAATATACATACCTAGAAAACCCAACTATGCGAAATTTTAGGCATGGGCTGATTTTCAGTTGGAAAACGTAATTTTCAGGCCAAAAACGTCATCACGAGTGAATAAAAGTAATTTTTGTTTTTCAATGTTGTGGTGAGCAGCACGGGCTGATCACACAAAGAGCTAGAAATGGAGTTTTTGAGGGTTTTGCTGGGGCAACCAACTTCAATTGAAGGAAAACATGCATCAGGTGATCACTGTGAATTCGCACAGTCTTCCTGGCCCTTAATACAAAGCAAAAAAATACCGGCAGGAAATTTTCGGAAATTTCCGCCCTTGTTCTTCTGGTTCCCGCCATTTCGACGCAAATTTCTGCCATTGTTTTGCGCAGTCTTTTGGGGCCTAAAACGGATTGTTGCAAGTAACAAGTAACAAGAGTCCCGTGGGTCATTTATGGAGTTCAATCAGGTTCGCACGTGGCAAATGCCCCTTCAAGCCAGGTTTCCTTGCACAATGAACCCTGGTATACCTACAGGGTGCAAGTTTAACGCGCACATCACACAATTCCAATAAATTTCTGAAACAATAGAACCATGCATTTTTTGTGCAGTTGTCCACCAAAAAAGGCCTTGTTTGGAAAAAAACCACGTTTTTTCGTGAAATGACTAAAATTTTGCATACTTACGGTTTACCAGGTATACAAAGGTATACATATCAATGTCCAGATACTGTAAGCAATGATGATATAATAATATGTATATGAATTATGATAATATAATATGTATACATATATATATATATGTGTGTGTGTGTATGTATGTATATATACAGATAGATATATATATATATGCACGCTGTACACCTGTGCAAGATGATGTTTGGTTATCTTTTCCAGTCTTTGTTGGACCCCAGCGGCCGATACCCAAAAAAGTGGCAAGTTCAATGGGATGACGATGTACCGATGTACTGTGGCATTGTCAGAGTTGTCAGACTAAATGCTTAATGATTTGCTTGCTTACAAAATCAGTGTGTGTATTTTTCTTCTGTTTGCCCTCGTGTTTTGCCTGTCTCGTCAAGTCACAGTCGCCCAAAATCTGAGGAAAAGGCTTGGCTTCAAGAGGTGCAACACACTTCAGAGGCAAGGTCTCCTTACCTGAATCTTAGTTGCACAATTGAATTGCTGCAACTGTAACCCTTGCGGCACCCTTTGATCACCTTGGCTTCAACTGAACGTTCGATTTCCCCTGAGGATTGATGCAACCTGTTGTGGTGTATACAAATGTGACTTGGACTGGTTGAACTGTCGGAAAGGAGTGTGGCAGCCCAAAGTCATCCAAAGCCAAAGCCGGAGTGTCATACCTGTCAGCTTAGGGTCTGCACGTGGGCAGTTGGGGTTGTTAATGGGTGTAGCCATGGGATTTTTACCCTGATAAGTTGGGATGTAATCCTTACAATACCCTTATGATTAACATCCTACAACTATGGCCTGTGGTTATACAGCCACTTTGCATACCCAAATAGACTTTGTTTAGGCCCGGCCGGACCTCCGCCTTCTGTCGATCTCAACAAACCAAGTTCCTGGACTCAGTGTGCCACACCCCTCAGACGAAATGTCGAAAAAATGGAACTTCCCGAAGCGAACGTCAGAATATGCCAGAAGACATGTCACTGAATATCATGAACATATTTGTCAGGGCAACTGTCAGACTCTTAAAAAGGCAACATATATCAAAATATACTTCGCATTGAAATCGGCAGATCAAATGCCACAATGTTTGTGAGGGCTGATGCCAAAGGGCCGTGTCAGAGTATGAGTCAGAAGATTTGCCAGAAGATAGGTAGATTGGTAGATGTTAGGAATTGTTAGGATACATGTTTACAAATGTCATAATGTGGGATTATATATATATACATATTGGCTGAACGTATATTGAAAGAAATGTCCCAGTATATGTATATAAGAAGTTATGTCGGAATAACTGTCGGGATGTTTACGTGTCAGCATTTTTGGTTTTGGCAAAACGTCTCCGTCTCTTCGGTTCCTGCATCCTGCGCCATTTTCCAGACCATTTTTTAGAGCGACCTCACAACAATCTTACTTCACCAGGAATGATGTTTTGCGGGGATGCCAGAAACTTGCTGATATGTTTGTGTGCAATTGGAAAAAACATGGTTTTCACGTGTAATGAATGACCCAGACGTCAGCCAACTCAACTCGTGCATGCGAGCGTCATCTATTAAAAAACGGGTAAACCTTGGCTACTAGATGCCACTGATGTACTTGTGGACAATGAGTTCATATCCACTTTATTCATTTTTATATGTTTTCTTTAAAGTAAATAAAACAGAACATTCTAGCCGAGGTGGTCCATGCTTGAAACATCTTGGCGGTTTCACCAAGGGAAGGCCGATATTCCCAAGGGAATCTTCATTTCCAGCCTGTAACAACCACTTATGGAAATGAAGATTGTAGGTAGAGTTATAATTGAATTTAACGTTAATTGTTTGTTGTATGAATACCACTATACCATTTCAATTCTCACGTATCCCTAGCGCTCCAAATACCCCCTGAGAAGGTGTTTATATAGACCCCAAAAAACAACTCCAAATACAGTCTGAGAAGCTGTTTGGAGCTAGGTCTGTTTTAAAGAAACCAATTTCAACCATATTTCTATATATGTCTACCATATGTTTCAACATTTTGAACCAGAATTGAAGGGACAATGTTGCAGGAGACCATGGCCCCGTGGCCCATCAAAGGGCAAAACGGCCCAGGTGGCCACGAAGAATTGACCGCCTCCGCCGAGTTCGGTGCCTTCAAAAGGGCAATGCTGAACTGCCACTGGACGACTTGGGAGGAAAGATATGGAAAGATATGGCAAAAAGATGTGGGACATGATCACATTATATTTTTGAAAAAATATTGCTGTATCTTCGGCTGGTGGGGATCTTTTCGACTCATTTACACAAATATTTACACTATACAGTAGATGAGTTGCCATGTAAGCAATGGAATCTTACAGCCAGCCGTGAATGAACGGAGGGCACTACCCATGGCCGCTAGTCCGTCAATATGGCCAGACAGGATCTTTGTGCGATTTTTTTCGTGCCAAGCAATGAGGAAGCAAACCGGACTGGTTGGAAAAGGCCATCTATATGATTCTATATGGGCAACATAACAGTAACACCAACATAACACATACACGCACCCACTATATATGTATATAATTAATTATTATACATATATATATATGTGATTATTTTACATCTATAATTATTATTTTACATATAATATATATATATATATATATTATTTTTTTAATATAGTATATATATAATACACACATATATATATAATAAATGTTTATATTTTGCACAAATGCAAGTAATCCCTGGTAATGTTGAAGAGTATACTATATTGTTTACATGTATACAATTCCCCCATATCTTTGTACGCATTTTTCACCTGCTAACCCGGTGCCCAGGTGCTCATCCGAGAATTTTAGATTTGATTTGGCTGTCCGTCCCAGAAATGAAGAAGCCCCAAAGCCCGGGTTGTAAATATACATTATGGAAGTCAATGAGTAGCATTGCCGACAGCTTTGTTTGGAAGTCCTGGACTTGCTCTACCTACTAGTTTGAAACCCAAAAACAACTGTTCCCGCCCCAGAGAAATCCCCGGATCAAGCTAAAGGATGGGATGTCCAGATATTGACCGGTATATCACCACTGACCAAGGCGAATTGTATTTCACTAGCTCCTTGGTGGGGAGACGAGTCCGTGGAAGATCTTTGTGAATGAAGGCTTTTTCTATTGTGCTGCTAAAAGGCTTAAGTTGTGCTGTCAAATACTGGCTTGGTGCGTTGAGAAAGGATGGTATTTGTGGATATTTCTGCTAGTTACTAGTTCATGATGAGTTGGCGCTCAGGAATTGTTTTTGTTAGTGGCGTATATTCCTTCTTGGGACTTCTAGCGAGATTCGGAGCAAGTGCAGGTCCTGTGTTTGTTGCTGCGCCCGTGCTGGACAAACCTTGGTCATATATACATATATAATATTATATAATCATATATATATATACACATATATATGTATATATAATATATTATAATCGATTTATATAATATCATATAAGATAATATATATATAATTCATATATATTATGTATTTAAGATAATAATATATATATATGTATTAAATATATATAAATATATGTATACAATATTTACAATATATATATATACACAATATATATATATATATACACACAATATATATACAATATATACATATGTATATACAATGTATATATATAGATATATATATGTATATACAATGCATATATATATATATACAATATATGTATATATCTATGGCCGTGCAAATGTCTACATGGGTGTACGTACATACTGCCAAGTATGCTTTTGTGGTATTCTTCCGAATCCCATGCATGGAAAGATGTTTGACGTAGCAGCTGGGCGAGTGGTATTGAGAAGTATCAAAAGTTCTATCCAGTGCCTTTTGGAGCATTGATCCCACACTTTGCTGCTGATCCAGCTCACTAAATATGCAATCCTCCCTGTAGTAAAGTGATGTGAAGTGTGTGTGTTGCCCCGGCAGGAAGTACATCCAATGTCAGGATCACAGATTTTCAAGTTGCGACAGATCAAGCCTCACTGCCATGTCAATGGAATGATGGTTAGGAGTGGAGTCTGTAATTACCCCAGGAAACAGCATTACTGTAATGTGGTCTAAACAATGCCATGTTTACCATCCCCCCAGTCATCACCATTGTGGTGGTATGAACTTACCATTCCCAGACTGCATCCCGGAGACGGTGAGGTGCCAAGCATCGGAGACGACCACTGAAGCCTTGTCTCAAGCACTGGGGCTAAGGGGCGCTGCCGGGGTGTTTGGTTGAAATCCTACGGCCCGAAATTGCAGTTATAAGATGTTGTAAGTCAGATACAACCCCATTTATGGAATAGTAAGCCCATTTAGAACCATGTATAGCCATTTGAAACTCGATGTGTGTGTCTATGGTCTGGGCCAAAGCCATCCAAAGCCCAGCGCTCATTTCGGCACTCAGATTCTGTAGCTTGCAGCATTATTGTTGGCAAGAGCCTATGCACTGCGGACTGCTTCAAATCAAGCAGTGAGAGGGAGCAACAAAAGTGTGCTGCCTGATGTGATGATGTTTCCATCCAGACAACTTTTTACGATTCCTAAAGGGAGATGGGGGGGCGGCTGCCCTTCCTCTGTCTCATCGGTCTCTTTGCGAACGCTTCTACCTGAGGTAGATTCTATATAGTGTGTTTTGCTCAAATGAGTACGAAGGTTCTGCATTTATTTGGGGTCCATTTAGAGCTTGATTTGCGCGTTGTTTGTCAGATTTTTTGAACGCATCCTGCAGTGTAGCTGTCTCTATCAGATGGGTGAGGCTAAGGCTTCAGTGGTTGCTGTGTGTCCACTGCTGCACTGTCTGGGTGTTGATAAAATGATCAATGCTAAGAGAGTATGGAAGCCAATGCGAGGTGATTTAGGGCCAATCCTCTTCCTGGTGATTGTACATTGATTTGCCCAGATATATCGATCAACCCTCTGGTAACACATTCCCATTGAAATGCCCAGGAATTTGGCCATGGCAATGATGATCACTTTGGGATCCCTTTACGGATGAAACAGCCAGTGCTGGCGGTGCTGGTCAGTGACAAATCAACTTGTGAAGCCCATTTCTCTGGACGCATGTTTGGGACAATCTGATACTGTATCTTTTTCAGCAATATTTCATGAATATAGGAACTGAAGACTTAAATTTTAGCTTTGTGGTTGAATATGAACCAGGAGTTTGGAAACGCTGAATATTGATTTAGGATCTCTAGCGCTCTGAAGATCAAACAAGACTGTGCTGGAAGTCTCTTGGCCAAAGCCCAACTGCCCATTTTTTTTCCCCGCCGGAAAGTTGCAGCAGCCTTTCCAGACACCGTGGACTGCTTCGAATCAAGCCGTACCAGGTGAACAACAAAAGTGGCTGCCTGCTGTGATGGTGTTTGCTTGCAGAAAAGAATGAAAACAACACATTACTGGGCTTCGACCCCTGATTTTGATATGGCTTGGAACCCAGATGCCATTGACCCTTAGCAGATATCATCCAAGTGAGCTTTGCCAGAGTCCTCCGGCCGATTCTGCGGGCATGAAGCCTTACCATTGCCACCACGTAAAAATCCGATGAATCACATCACAACTTCAATCGATTGGAACAGCTGTTGGCAGCTTGTTTGCTGATAGATGTCACGGATGTACATACATATATATATATATTGAAGATTATTGAAGTTTATGTCCACATGATTATAGACATGCACCTGCCTTTTAGCAAACATTTATCTTGCATAAAAATGACTATATGTATATATCAGTATATAATGTACATTAAATTGTTCACATTATGGGTATATAGCTTTCATAGAAATAGTGGTATTTACTGTGTATATATATCTATAGTTATCAGTTCTTACTTCATATGTATACAATCGCGGTTCTTTACGATATGTGGACATATGTATATATATATATGTATATATAGAACCTAAATTGATATGTGTCAACACATATTATACATACACATATCAATGTGTAAGGACTACGCCTTTTGTAGTCCATGAGTCCATGATATGCTTGATCTACACATTGTGCGTCATTTGTCTCAAAAAAAATGCTGGTGGCATCCCGCATCGTAGCTGTCTCTCATGCAAATTTTAATCCGGGAGATAGCATTTTAAAATGTTTTAATTTAAATGAACAAAATACAGGCGGAAGACGCGCGACAAGGCTTTGACTGAAGAAAAGCTCTTTCAAATACAAACACCATGGTTACTATCCTGTTCACATGTCATTATTTATCATCATATGGGGTCTATACGTAGATTCAACCATGTATTTTTCCCCGTTATCATCCAATTTCATTCTTGAATAGGACTGACTGAATCACATTGCTACCAACATCGTCAGTCAAGCCGTCCAGTGCGTCGAGGTTGCGTTTAATGAAGAAGGGGAAAAAGTGATCAGATCCCGTATCTTTGATGTGTGTGTTTCTTTCAGTCCCAGTTCCGCAAGGCGCAAGTTGTTTGGGTACAAACATTATTTTATTAATTGATATTTCAATGGCATGATTTATCATGTGGTATATATTTAGATTATCTTAGATCCAGTTATATATACATATAGTAATAACAATATATATTATATATATATATACATATGCATATGCACATTTAGATATCTGAAACATTCATGATTTGCACAGCATGTAGCTCGTATTGAATTATTGACACGTCAAGCAGGTTCCGAAGACTTCCGAAGGTACGGCTGGAGCCATAGGGATTCCACATTGTTTCACCCTCTGGTAATGACTAACAGTTTGCTATTGAAAATGGTACCTTTATAGTTGATTTACCATGATTTACCTATTAAGGATGGTGATTTTCTACAGCTATGTTAGTTTACCAGAGGGTAAGATAGGGTAAGCTTCGCAAACAGATAGGAAAATCACCAGCGAAATAACCATCGATGCGTCGTGCAGGCTGTGCCATCTGACATCTTCGCCCTTACCTCTGTGACGTGAAGAAAAAGTTGCCTTTTGATGGTGGTATTGGTGGGACTTGGGGGTATTCCATGGGGAACTTAACCATATGGGGAATAGAATGGGACATAACGAACAGCTTTTGGGCTCTGATAATGGAGACGTGAACTCCAAGTCGCTGATATAATTAATGCTGGAAAGGAACATAGTCTTAGAGTCATTGACCACTACCGTTGGCGGTGCCCGATTTTCATTCAACCAATATGACATGTGTGGGATGATAAACATAAGGATTGGATTTGAGAATTCATTTTGTTAATTCACCACGGTGACCAACAGGCTAGATGAGGTTAAATGATGATTAATGATCATATTATATCATATTATGATATATTATGGATTTAATTGTAAATACCAACAACGGGTTTGGCATACCGTATGCGACCAGCAACCAGGTAAAGTAGTTATTTGTAACGTACATTACGTTTCTGAAATGCGGACTCTGTACTGTTGTTTGTCGTTGTTTGTTGTTGTTTGCTGTTGTTTGTGTTTTTGTCCAACACTCGCATCCGGAAAGCTATGCTGATCATGTTTACGCTGTGCATCCCTGAGATGATCCTTGATCACTTAATATCTGTCGAAGTTCAATCCACCAATCCAAAACAGTGATATCCCAAATGTTAAAATGTTTTTCGATGTCACTCCCACTCTGTCTGAAGACTCCTCGTTCTATGCAGCTTTTGCTGGGGCCCAGCCGATCCAGAAGCCTGGACGAAGACATCATGGGAACCCATGGGAATGCAAGATAAATCAATCGCGAAACTCGAGAAACATAGGGGAAACTCACCACAATGAGATGAATCTGCTAACGCACACACACACATATATATATTATCTAAATCTATATATATATATGTGTGTGTATACTCTACATAGCTACTTACATTATATGTATATATATATATATAATGATGAGTAAAAAACGATTTGGTGAGTTGACGTGAATTGGGTCGTTTATCGGCATGCTTCCTTTTGTTGCCATAAATGGCAGGCAAGCAGCTTATGACCATCGATGTGAGTGCCCTGGTTGGTGACTTGAACTTTGAACTGGCCCTTTTTTCCTAGCATATTTGGATTGGAGATTCCCGGTGACTCATTTCTTTTTTTCAGATGAGGTGAACTCACGAAGCAGAAAATTGATCGTTAAAAGTTAAAAGCATTTAAAAGCTACAACCATGACGAATTGTAGCTTACCACTTCCCAAAATGATGCTTGCAGCCAGCCGGAGATGATTGTGTCGCTAGCTCAGCATGACGATGGTATGGTGGATGCATGAAATACAAGGAAGTTGCGAGACAGCACGTGGGACAAAAAGGATAAGATATGATCAGTACTTTTCAGGGACTTCTAATTACTTGTAATGAACCCATTGTCAAACACGTTACGAAAATGTCAGGGAACATTTACTTGGCGTAACAATGTATAACATGTTTCTTTCATAGAGTTTTGAGTCTTCAGACAAAAGTCACCTTTTGACTGATTCTATTTTAGCAATGCTTCCTTTGGGGGTTGACATCGGATGCTGCGTGGGATCGTTGGTCCCGATTCGCCCTCATTTCGCACGCCTATCCTCAGGCAATTCAGCATGGCAATGGAAATCTACCATCACCATCAAAGATTGACCATGTCTATAGATGGTCACCATTATGACTTATAAACTTATAATACCATCTAAAAAAACACCGGGGTCATACATATAAGGATTATATAATGGTTTATTGTGGCTTTCCCATGGGGTTTCCCATGAAAACCATTAAAAGCCCAGACCCGAAAAAAGCGGCCAACATCTGGCCGACCGAGGCGCTGCCACAATGGTCACCCGCTGCAACAGAAGACCGTGCTTGGGCCCAATGGCGCAACTCCCATTTGGGAATGGTTTATATATATATATATATATGCATATATATATATATCATTTTATTTCACATCCCAACTAATCCAACTATAAAAATGATGATGACTTAAAGAGGGTTTTAATGATTTTGGGTGACTACCACAGCAATGGATACTGTTTCCCAGTTGAAGTTACTTGGGAAAGACATATCGTGAGGGTCTTGGAATGCCTTGCCTGCCTTGGAAAGTGGTTTTGGAAGTCGGCTTTTGCATTGGATTCCTCGCCCATAGTGGGGTTCGACGCGTTGTGCCATCAGCAACCCGTCCTGATGCTTGGATTTCGTTCACTGAACGGAAAATTCCATGGGAATTTAAGCCTCCCCAAAGGCTGCTTGCCTGGTTGCAGCGTGTTTTTGTTGACTGTTCCACTGTCCACTTCTTCAGATGTGATGATGCCTCCAATGACACACACACATATACATATATATATATATATACACAATATTTTATAGAATATATCAGTACATATGGTTTCATATAGTTATTGACGCTTTTATGTATGTATGTATATAAATATATATACACATCAAGTATTATTCAATGTAGTTATATATAATAATCATCAATATGCATATATATATATATGTATGATTATTATGTGAATTTATATATATATATATAAATAAATATATAAATATAAATATAAATATATATATATATGCAGTGGGTGGCTCAACATCCAGCGAGATCAATTTTGCAACAGCCATTGGTCAAAAAAAAACACCCCGATGATTGCTGACATCGCGCTAAACGCGCAGATCAAGTTGGCTAAGATCCCCATGATATCCCCAATTCCTGGGTGAAACCACCAGTCAAATCATCACACGGCCCCAAAACGATAGCTAAGCAGCTAAATGCAAACAACCAGCTGAATTAGCTGAATTCTATATGGTTTTTGGTCAATTTGTGGTAGATAGATGATAGATAGATAGATAGATAGATAGATAGATAGATAGATAGATAGATAGATAGATAGATAGATAGATATATATATATATCGAACGTTATCGAACTAAGGTTTTCTTTTGGCAAACCAACATTTAAATCACGTGGCCCTTAACCTCACCTCGTGCCTCATGTCGACCTCGCCAGGTGAGCGGCAGCTTCTTCGAATTCTTGGACAAGAAGTGTCGCCAGCCGCTGGGATTTTAAATTTTCGATGGGCGATGGATCGGGGGATCCAGAAATGGTCGAAGTTTGGTGATTGGATTAGCCTCTGGTAAACTAACAGTTTGCTTTTGAACATGGCCATAGAAATAGTGGATTTACCCATTTAAAATGGTGATTTTCCATAGTTATGTTAGTTTACCAGAGGGTAGTCCTGCAAAAATCAGGGAAGACTTTGGTGGATTTCAGGTGTCAATCTTGTGGAAATGGATGCTAAACATCATGTGTGACACAAGTAGGCACAGATTGAATGCATCATAAACTCACCCAGGGACCCAGGACCCAATTCCTAACAATCAATGGGATCTTCGGAAGTTAAAAGTTGTAACTTGGATGATATTCATCTATGCAACTGTGCTTGGCAACATGCCTATAATAACGCTGTTCTGTTCCACATTGTAACTGTAGAAGTGTTTTCCAATGTGGTTGGTGTTTAAGTTTCAAACATCTACATATTATGTATATATACATATATATAGTTAAATATAACACGTATACACATACATACGCTCACACAAGCACACACACAGGGGGTTGCGTCAAAATTCGGGTATGGATCCGCCTGTGGGTTCAGGGTATGGATCGGGGCTTTACATTCTTTACATTTTGTCTCACAGCCATGTATATATATATATATATTGGTAAATTATATCTGGAATCATGGTGAATCATTATAATTTACCCATATATTTTCTTTTTTCATTCTGGCTCACAGGTGCAATGAAGCGGCGGCCAAGCACGTCAAATTCGAAGCATGGTGAGAAAACAAAATACCAGTCAGCCGTTCTGCACAAAGTCCGGTCCAATAAACTCACCCTGGAAATCCTGCTGCATCTTTACACAGCATGCCAAAAACTCTGATTCAATCTGCACATCATCAGAGCTCGCACTGCTGACAGCGTAATACGTCGCCTGTGCAAGTGCGCCGCAAAACGCTGGAGGATATTCCTTTAATTGGGCCGTATAAAACTGTCCTGCAGCGTCACGTCCAATGTTCACGCGCTTCGGAACATCTGGGGTGACCCGCCACTGAATTATGGCTGCTGGGAAATGAGGAAGATTGAGAGCCAACAATTCAGTTGGCTTCATGCTGTCGGCTCCTAACAACCCTTGGGACAGGCGAAGCTTCTGCGTGCCCGGGAGTCCTAAAAGAACCTGCACGATTGGCAGCTTCCAAATGGAAGGCATACACTCAGCGTCAGGTTCTGCTGGGTGCTCAAGGATGCCAGCCCGAGCTTGTAGAGCAAGTTCACCGAGCGCAAGCAAGCAGAACCCAAGCAAGACGTTCCCGTCAATGACCTGGTCAATCTCCCTGAGGCTTAGTGATGTCAGTCCCCATAGGTCCTGTGCGGAGCGCACTGGGCGTGGTCCATGGCGTCCTGAACGTTCATGATTGCCATCATGAAGATCCACAGCCCGAGCTTTCGACCATGTGCAGCACGGTGGTCCGCCCAAAAACGCGTGCACCCAACCGCAACGGATGCCATGCAGCCAGTACTGTTGTACATCATTGCGAGATAGGTCACCGTAGTGCTCGTCAATGATAATATCAAGTGACACAACATGGAGAACAACACCTTCAACAGGGGCCATGAATTGCTCCAGATACCACTGGTAGTCCCCGACTCGCCTGCGGCCAGCAAATGCGTGTAGCACAACTCGCTCACGACCGACAGGCAGAGGGACACTCTGCGCTGTCCACACATTTCCAGAATCCGTCAAGCGAGAACACCATGCTGTATAATGAGTCAAATCATCTACAGGTCTGCTGGCTTCTCGGAAATCATCTCGCAAAAATGGCCAGTGCTCAGGGTCAAGCAGATTATCCACAGCCTGGTAAACAACCTTCTGTGAAACTCCAGTGATCATGACAAGTTCCTCACCAAAACCATCACGAAATGCACGAAGTGTCTGCTGACATCTGGTCCATGAAATGGCAAACTCCTGAATTGCAGCTTCCATCATCGTCAAAAGCTGTGCAGCATCAATCTCAGGAAAAAGAAGTTCCATCCACATGTCAATGAGATCCGTATGTTCAGGATCCAATTCAACAGGAGCACGTACTGGCAAGGCCGGACCCTGGGCCTGTAAAGGTGGGACAAGGCCATCATGCATGCGTTGCTCCTGTTGTTGTTCGATGGAACCAATACCTGCTTGAATGCCACTATGCAGCCTTCTGGCTTGGAGACCGCCTCGACAGGCTCGACTGCGCTGCAAGTGCTGTTGGAGCTTGCTGCGTGTGTGATATTCACGAAGACAATGGGCGCATTGGGTGCCGTGGCATAGATGTCGGACACTGGCAACGATGGCATGGCATTTGAAAAAGTGCGCCCCTTCTCCACCACGGCTGGCACATCGCTTTTTGCAAAGCATGCAGCCAAACTTCATCTGGGCATCAAATTGAAAGGCATAAGTAGGTGCATCCACACCAAATCTTCCATGACTCTGTAAACTCTCAAAAAGCTCACGATGGATGGCGCCCACAAGCTGGCGATTGCGTCTCTGCCGAATCGCATGTGCGATGGCTCGGTTCACCAACCGCTTCCAATACCTGGGGTGGTATCGCAGGATGTACTCCCAAGCACCGAAATGATGACGTGGATCATGAAGACCACTGCAGTGATGAAGCTGCGTCCAGAGCCACACACAATCATCTTCAACGAGATTCAACCATGTCATGTCGCAATTGATGATGCCCCAATCCATCGAGCTAGCTCCGTGGTATAAGGTACCCAAATATCGAAGTCGAGCCCGTCTCAACACTTCTGTAGGGCTTGGAGTCATACAGCGAGTCAGAATCTCTTCATCAGAAAGGTGTTGGTCATGCGCAACATTGAGCAATCGCCGGTACAGGCGGATCATACCAGCATGAACTGCAGTCTTGCTCTGGTTGTCGGGGAGGACCCACGTCTCACTGCCATAGTTCAAACCACTCATGACGAGAGAATCAAAGATCTGTCCACGCACTTTGTGATCGATGTGTTTGTTGCAGAAGAGCACTCGCCGGTGGCGTGTGAACGTCTGATGCGCTGCTGCAAGGCGTTGTTTCGCTTCAAACTTCAGGTTTCCAGAATGATGAACAATACCGCCAAGGTGCTTGTATCTTCCAGTAACCCGCACAGAGAAACATTGATATTTCCCAATTGCAGTGAAAAGCTTGGAGCTGTTCGGACCATGATATTGCTTCTGCCAATACCGAGATCTAGGGCCTCGTAGTGTGAGCATGATTTCGGTTTTGCCAACATCCGTGTTCGGTGTCATTGCATGTCCAAGACAAGTGTCCATCAATGTGGACGTCATAATGCCAAGTCTTTGTACAAGCTCATCCGCAGTGGACCCTGAAAGGCAAATTGCGAGATCATCCATCCAGCATGGCCCAAGGTAAGCTCTGGAGGCATTCTCAGTGGGACGGTTGTGGCCAAAGAGAGCACAGCCATCCACAGCATGGATGTCATCCAAAATCTGATACTGACATAGCTCTCCCTCAATCTGGCGTAAAACTTTGGCCCAGAGATAGCCAAAGATTGTATCAGCAAAACAATCCCCTGGCCGACTACCAACTGATGTCCTGCAGAGATCATCTTGACCTGCAACATAGAACCAGGTGTCACTGTGCAGGGCCGTCAAATAATTGCGAACATGATGTGGGAGCCCAGCAACAGCAACAGCATTGGGCATCTTCAAATGCTCATACAAATCCGCAAGAGCACCTTCAGGAAGTCGAAGTCGCTGGGCAAGACAAGCAATCTCTGCGTCCGTCCATGGATTGTCCAAGGTAAGTGGACGCAAGATCCGATAGAATGCTTCTTTGAGATCAAGGTAGAGGATACCACACGAGCGTCCACATCGTTGTTGATGTCTCATGAATGAGCGCAAATGGTGTAAACCAAGGGTGACAGGTATCCCTCTTCGACCTCCGATCTGTTGATTTTGCATGAATGTTTCGTACAAGTCTGTCTGATGCTGTCTGAGGGACCGGTGCAGCACTTTGCCCTGGTGTGAAGAAATCAAAAGGCTCCGGTACGATTCGCAGAGATCAATCGGACCCTTGCCTTTATGTGCCTGGACAAGCTGGCCACCTTTATGCATGGCAGCCTCTTGCCCATGTAGGGCTAACTTGAGCAATTGCGAATATGAGAGTCGAGCAAGCTCAGCAGCATTGTAGGCACAGGCTTCCGGGGGAACTTGATCGTGTCCAATTGCTTTGCCCGGACGAACTCTCGCAAAGGCACGTTCAAGATCACATAGGGTCGGCAAATCTTGGAGACATAGTTGAAAATCTTCTTGACAAAATTGCTGAAGGTTTTGCCTCCATTGATGTCTATGATCCTCATAAGACATCCTGGTTCCACCTTCCATGGCAGCGAAAAACTCAACCCAACGATCAACCATCTCTTGTGGATCAGCACAAACATGTCCATCCTCCTTTCTCACAAGTGGTAAAGATCGACGCTTGATCTTCTTTGGATTCGTTGGGCCCACAATCTCATGTACCTCCTTCAAAACCGTGGAAGCCGCTGTAGTGGGTGGCAGTTGCTTCAATTTCTCGGCCAGGAGAGCATGCTTGCTGCGCTTGAGGAGTGTTCTCATGTAGCGCGTCACCATAAAGTGATTGGCAATCAGTTTGACTTCAATGCATCGAAGGGTAGTCTCATAGTTGTATGCAGATACATAGTCCTGTTGAGACATCTGGCCACGCCACAATCTCCAGCTGCGGAAGAGTGTCTCCAGTTTGAACCTGCGATGCAAACCACGCAAAGACTTACTCAGATGCAATTTGTCCTGCCGCAAAGACCAAATCGTGGAGTCAATGTATGGCTTTTTGCTGCGCGCCTTTCTGGGGGGATGCACAGTGGCAAGAGCTGACCAGAGGTTCTGGGTATAGTCAGCCACATGTGTATCAATGTCATCCATCCACTCATTGACAGTCTGTCGACAGAGCACTGATTGCAAACTACCACGCTGCAGAGATTGACGATCATAGCAAGGTTTTGTCGATGGGCTCCCACGGTTGGAAACTTGTTGCCATGTCTGCCAAGAAAGCTGCACTGCCGACATCAAATGGTCAAGATGAGCTGTGCCCAAATCAAAGTCTTGCAACACACATGACATGGTGCAGTAAGGCAGCAAATTACACGGCACAACCACATAGTCAATGCGACACTCATGCTGTCCATCTGGAGAAAACCATGTGGCTCTGGATCCACAGTGCATCGGATGTGAGGCTGGCAGACAGAGATCCTGAGAATGAAGGAAATCTCGCAAAAGATTCGTGCTGGCAGTCACTCCATCATCATAATCTCCAATGTGCGGAAACGCACGAGGACCTGTAGCCGCATTGGCGTCGATCATGCAGAAGACATTTTCATCAGCTGTGAGCTTGCATTGCTCGAGAGTCTGAGAAAACGAAATCCACCACTCTTCTCTGTCAACTCGAGAACATCCGCTTTGCGGTGCATGTGCCACAACTAACAGGCCCTTCAATAGTGCATGCTGGACACGGACAATCAGCCAACGTGGCTTGGCATGCACAACCACGAAATCACTTCGTGTCAGATACTGCGGCACTTTGTCCATGAATCCAATCGGACATTTCAAGTTCACCCAGAGTTCTGTTCCATGGTGTCCACGGTCAGCGCCAGAGGCTAAGCGCAAGACATCATCAACACAAGAGCAACACGCATCTGTTCGTGCCTCTTGAATGCCCAAGAAATTCAGTCTATGCTGAGCAAATTGCAAACGCAGATATTGGACTTTGCCTGCATGCCCATTGTCGCCTCTGTAGAGCGACTGCACATTGGCCGTAGCAAAGCTCGGGCAGATCGTGAACTGTCGCCATTGCAGTGGGGCATCTCTAACTGCAGGACTCGACTGGTCAATCTCAGGCAGCTTCGGGGGCGGCGCATGAAAGCCATTTCGACAAAGTCGGGGAAGTCCTGCTTGTTTATGAAAGAGCATCCACATGTAGGGTATGAACTTGCGAAGCTTGCACAGTGAGAACTTGGGTCGAGGCAAATAAAAACTCTTTTCACGTTCAACTTTGGCCGCAAAATCAACGAAGTCATTCAGAGGGTCGTTGGAATGACCTTTGACATGTTGGATGCGCAGCTTGTCACTTGGCAAGATGGCAGCCAATGTTTGAGCTGCTCCTCGCAGCAATTGAAAGCTCTCAGTGGATTGATGCGAACCAACAATGCCACTCGCCTGTGCTTGAGTCAGCTGGGAATCAGTGCAGAACGTCGTGGACACACTGTCATTGATGGAGATCCTCCACATCATGCTCCAGAATAACGCTTCCCTTTCTGCAGCATCGGAGCCTGCATGGGTAGCCCCGATGAACGCTCTGTTTTGCTCATCATAGAGAATGGGTTGAGCCTGCCAGCCGACGAGGTACCGTTGGAAAGTGCCATCTGGAGCTTGAACCTCTCCAATCACAATGAACGCCCACGTGTCACCTTGTCCCTGTTCAGCCAGGAGAAGAGGTGGTTGATGCTTCAATGCGCTCAAGGATGAGCCGTCGGCATACACCACAATCCGATCAAAATGAGACACAGGTAGACCTGGATTCGGTTGCAGATCTTTGACAAATTGCTTCGTTGTGGGAGGTAGGTCAAGACCTTCCAAAGTAGTGCACAAGGGAAAGCTATCAGGGGCAAATACCTCTTGCAGCTCTTCAAGGCTGACGCCAAACGCAAGGCAGCAATCACTGCATTCTGCATGCCATGACGCAGGGTCAAATGGAGGAAGGTCATCTCTCCCTAACGGCTGTGGTGTAGGCCATTCTGATGGTGACTTCTGCACAATGGCAGGAGCAGCTAGCTTCGGCTGCAAATGGGCAAATACAACACGGCAAAGTCCAGGTCGGAGGTCTGCTGCTTCAATGATGGCTGTCTTGATGTAGCCCATCCGATAGAGGACTTTCATGTGGCCAAGGGAATTGAGCGGTCCATCAGCTGCATTCCATGTGTGCAAAATGGCTGCACCATCCTCAATCCCTTCTTGTGTGCCATAAATGACATGCTGCTCCGTGGTAGACCAATCAGGTGGTAGGCAAAGATATTCATCATGGCCACCAAATCGATACGCATTGCAATTGATGCCCCATTCAAGTAGGATATGGGTGATCCAGCTTTCATCATGCGCATGTGGTACTTCCAAAAAGGAAGGTACAATAAGATCTTGACTGCCAGACCTCAATTTGACCGCATAGTCTCGCACAATCTCCTGCTCAAGCTCTATGGGAGACTCGGTCAAAAGCTCAGACATGGGTAAAAGTTCCGCCAAGGCCAACTGCTTAGGAGGGACCAGTCGAGAATGCCGAGGGAGCCGAGGCCCAGGGGTATGAGCCACCTGCCCCTGTGTTTGGCGCTCTCGGATAGATCCCTCATCCTGATGGCGTGGAGGTCTTTGTAAGAATGCTGCAGCATCACCTGGGTACACTCGACGTTGGACATTGATGTGGATTCCATAGCCGCTACGTCCCATGAGAGGTCTTCCAGCCCTGAATCTCTCATCCATGTACCAAGCACGACAAACACGTGGAGATTCAGGTGGGAGGCATACCTGTGCATAGCCAACAACCTCCAGCACGTCTGCAAGGTGGATTTGTTCATGGGTAGTGACGGCCATCTGCTGGAATCTACCATGGTTCTCACGAAGTGTATGGTCAATCAGTGTGACCAGACTCGTGACCATGACCTCATGCTCATGATAAACCAGAATGATATGGCCAGCAGTATTGGGCTGTTGACGCGGTGGATTTGGCTGCACAATGTAGTACTCCAATGGGGAGTCATCACGTAGGAAGTCATGCCACCGTTGTCTTAGTGTCAATTCCCATGTTGTGAAATCTTCGGAAAGCTCAACATTTCTCGGAGTTGTGCAATGTCGAAAGACGCCAGCATGATCTGCGAACCACGTTGTGAACGAGCTGGTACGTGGTTCATCTTCCCAGGCAAACGCAACCGTCTCCCAAAGTTCGTGGAGTTCCTGTACAAATTCGCTCATCGCATGCAGTTGCACATTCACTTGTACATTTCCCGGGACAAAGGGTTGTGCTGCCGGATTGAAGGCAAATACATTGCATGGAGCATTCTGGACAGGTTCTGTTTGCTGAAGACCACTAGCAGTCGCAGTATCTGTGGACAATTGCATGAGGACCAGGTCCTCAAAGTGCGCATCCTCTTCTGATGGTGGGATAGGTCTTTGTGCATCAACAGATTCAACTCGAACACAGACATTGAAACCGCCAGACAAAGCTGTCATCACGATGAGGTGCACTGGCTCGCCATTGGCTTGTACACTACATCGTCGCAGGTCACATTGCGGTTGTAGGCCAAGCTCTTCAATGACAAGGGGTCGATTGATCAGTTGAGGAAAGGATCCTGCAAACTGTTGAAGAGCATCTCTTTCTGGTCCTTCAAGGAGTACAGATATCACGCCTGCAGCACGATGGGGTACTGGTGCCTGCTCAACAATGACATGGCAAGAAAATGATTGTAGTCGTGGACGTGGAGGTCTTGGACGGACAACGTGGAGCCCAAAAGGGATGTTGTGGTCCAGAATGTCATTCCAAGTCTGTCTGAACTCCTCAATCCAACCAATCATAGCACCATCCAAACGTACAGCCCTGGGTCTATGGCATCGTTTGTATCTCTGATGATGAACATACCATGTCTGAACATAGAGCAGGGGATCTCCATCATGAACTTCTGCTTCAGCATCTTGTCGGAAAACTTCTGCAAGATCATAGAGCCAAGTGAAGACTCCATCATGTCTTGGTCGCAACCGAGGAACTTGGACTCCTGGTGGAAATGTCATCGGGATGTCTATGTCCTCAACATGGTCGCTGCCCTTGCATTGGACGATTCTTGCACCCGTTGTGGAAGTTCCTTCATAATCTTGCCGGTTTGCATCAATCTGGCCGTTCATGATGGCATAGGCAAGATCCCCCGCAGCAGGAAAGTCAAAAAGCTCGCCAGTTTCATGTGCAACACGTACTGCTTGGCCGATCTGCCATTCCGCACGAGGTGGAGGTGGCAGTTGTATACGAAAAACAGCACCATGAGAGATGTCACGTAGTCGCTGATCCGTGCGGTACCATTCACGATCATTGTGGTGGACAACGCATTGGTCAGACATCCAAGTGCAGTATGAGGCCACTTGAGCAAAAATGAGAAGATGCTGACGAACAATTTGATGCGGGAGTTTGTAGACCTCTCTGGTGACAGTGGGGTTGTCAGGTACACCATGAACGAGTCGATTCGTGTGATACACAATATCAACAATCACAAGCTTCTCAAGTGAACCAGGCTGGATGTCGTTCACGTGCTGCATAATAATGGCTTCGTCCCCAGCATCGTGACCGGGTAAATGCACCTGAGCATAGTGAAAGCCAATAAATTCATTGATGGACAGCCTGAGGAGCTGAGCAGCATCACGAAGGGCAGCATGGTATGAACGCCAGTCAAGGTGCCCAAAGATGGCAATCTGCCCCAAGCGATAGATGTGAGTCCCTTGCATGTCATTGGGCGCTTCTGACGAGGGCGAATATCCCTCTGAGACTGCAGCATCTTCGTCTTGGGCAGGCTCGAGGTGCTGGTCACCACACGTGTCATAGTCAAGTTCAGCTAGCTCGTCTTCCTGTGCCGCAGAACTCGGAGCTGCAGCAGCTTGAGATCTTCGTGGGTGAATGATGAAAGCATCACCATTGGTCATTTCATGAACAGGCTCATGTGTAAACGGGATCTCGGTTCTTGCATGTGCTATGCGGCATCCACGCAGATGGCATTGTTGGGTCCGACCAACAAGCATAGCCAAGTGTTCCCCACTGACAAACTGTGGCAATGAAACTGCTCGAGAAAATTCCGCACGAGCTGCTAAATCATCAGTTCTAATCACTGTGATGAGTCCTGCCCATTCGTTCACATCAATGCCTTGGGCTACAATGAGGTCAAAGAAGATCTCATGCGCAATAGCAACATTTCTGGGTGGATCTGGACGACAAATGTAGAAGGCGATGTCCTCTTCAACATTGATTTGATCTCGCCACCCTCCTGCAATATCTCTCGCCCAAAGGCGCCAGTGTCCATCCAATTCTAAAACTCTTGGAGTGTCCCAATGACGCTGACGCAAATGATGGAGATACCAGGATCGCACATGGATGGCTTCAGAGAGTCTCGGGCCATCAATTAAACCTTGATAAAGAAATTCATCATAAAGGTGCCTTATCGTCTCAGGTGCCTCATGAAGAAAATGCGGTGCATCATCAAGTTCATGATCTGGATGTTCCTCTTGTCGATGAGTTCCCTGCCAATTGGAGGGTACATCATGCCAGGCATCAGTAGTGTGGAATGTCATGAATGGCAGAGACTCTTTCATGGATGGGGTCGCATTCACATCGTCCCACATGCATGTTGCACGAGCTCTCCACCTCTTGTAAACCACGTCAAAATCCACATCAAAGGCTGTAGAATGAACTGCTTCTGCCAGAAGAAGTGCAGCATCACGTGCATCCCATACACTGCGGAAATCTGCTTCTTCCATGACTGAATGAAAATAAGGAAAAGGTGTAGAAAGCCTTACCATATCCAAATCATCAGCTTCAGACCAGAAATTGCAGCATCTCGGAACCATCACGTCAGACTCACCCTCAAAGTCCACGATGGGCCAAAAAGACACTTTGCAAAATCGGTCACTTTTCCGCCCCTCCTCCCTCCTTTCAGGTGTTAGACACCCTGAAAAGGCTTCGTCTTGCGACACTCGGAGAGTCAGGGCTGACTGGAATCCCGAGACTTCTTGTCTGCAGGCTCCACAATCTCCACATCGGGTGCTTCTGCACTTTCTCCAGGAGCTCGTTCTCGCTTCTTGATCTTGCCTTCGATGGTATTCTTGACCTGTTGCACCACCCCTGTGAGGTTCTCCTTGATCTGCGCAAAGCTGCTCTGAACACCCAAGCCATCTTCCTCCTCGATGTTCATAGAGGCATCGAGAGCTTCTTGCGCTGTAGCAATGGCGGTGGATTCCAAGACATCTTGATCCATGGTGCGCCGATGGGCGTCCTGCAACGCATCTCTGGTGCTGTGCAAGCTGTGGAGCGCTTCGTTCCGTCTTTCTGCAAAGCGCAACTCCCCTTGCTCGAACTCCTCGACATGCGCCATCCACATCTGCGTGGCCTTGTCCAAATAGGCAGCCCATTGATCCCTGTACGCAGCCCATTGCTCGTCGATCTCCATCAGTTTCTTTCTGATGTTGTTCAATTGGGAGACAAGCTGACTGTGTGACTTGGCATCCACTTTGCGCACAGACACTTCTGTAGCCTGGACAACCTTCTTGATGTCGTCCGGAAGGTTGGGCTTGTTCTTGATCTCCTTGAATAGATGCCGATAGGCATACAATTCCTGCTCGTCTTTGTGAGCTCCAAGCGCTTGGCCTCCAGGTTTCGGAAAGGGCTGCATCGATGGTGCGGCAACAGATGGAGCCGATGAAATAGGAGGTGCAGGAGGTGGATCTGCAGGAAGCATGGAAGCCGGCAGTGTAGGTGGCGACAGCCATTGCGTGGACGGAGGCCCATGATAGCCTTTTCCGCCTCCCTTGTACTTGCCTTTGCCTTCCTCCGCATTGTGCTGCTTGGTTCTCTTTCTTGGGCTCTGAGTGCGTTTTCTGGGCGATTTTGGGCGATTCGTAACCCATGGTCCAGCGTCCGACCATCCTTGATCGTACCATCCACCTGTATAGGCTGATGACTTCTGTTGGTGAACATAGCTGGAATCGTGGCATTGGGCCCAAAATCGCCAGCATCCTCCACACTGAGCCGACTTGCCCTTGACAAGTCTCATGCAGTAGCGACATCTCCAAGGATCTAACTTCTCCATCTCTCTTCGGATTCTGGCAAGAAGATTCGGATCTCTCGAATGATGGCTCTGCAATGTCACGTAAATCGAATTGAGCTGCTCGATGGACAGCTTGCGAATCCCTTGTCGATGAAGATGCCAAGAGAGTCTTGCCTGGGTCCTCTTTCTTCTCAATCTCCGTCTCACAGATGGCAAAATACTGGGCGAAAAGAATAAGCACCAGAAATACCAAAGGGAACATGTATTGTTGCAACCAAATACCAGAGATCAGTGTGCCAACCCTTGTTAGCAGAGATCGATCCAGAAGTGGTGCAGGAAGACGAAGTAGAGATCCAAAAGGAGGAACGTCAGGTCAAACGTTAAGAGCAATGGCGGTACTTCCTGCGCTGGGAAGCAGAGCGCAACTCAAAGGCCTGGTGTGCGAGGCCCGCGACACTGCTCGAATCGCTTAGGTCACCGGCGAAGCAGCACGTTCGTGGGGAAAACCCTGCTGCAGCCGAAACCTTCCATATATATATATACATATCTATAAACATGTAATGTCTGTATGCCATTGATGTCTTCCTGGCATTCTGAATCAGCACGTCGTGGTTTTGCGTTGATCATCTCCTTTCAGGTGCGGCAGGTTGCTTCATAGTGGGCAACCAAGGTCCGGTGGGACGGAGAGCCGAAGCCAAGATATACCGAGAGGAGTTCATCATCTCGGTCAATGAGTTTGGAAAATCTTTACCATGCATTTAGCCAGAATGGATTTTCTAACAGTTGGAGGGGCTATCATTGGGTATACCGCAATGATGGGATTTCTGCAGATTTTGCCAATGAGACCAATGAGTTTGGAAATGGATGGAAATGGGGAAATTCATGGAAATGCTTTGACTTGATGATAAACCATGGCGTTTCAACCTTAGCCCCAAACATATCCAAAAAAAAGCAAAATAAAAGCAGTACGCTGTTGAGTCAGCAAGGATTTCCGTGAACATTCTATAGATTGGTGGCTGCTATACGTCAAGCCTTTTGACACGGCTTCATAAACCATCACATGCAGTAACCAAGTAGGGGGTTGTAATAAACTCAACATCATCCCAATTGTATTCAGGGGCATACCCAATTTCATAAACCTTGATTCCGTGCACAATTCGGATGGTGACTACTACGGTGAATTCTCCTTCAGTTTGCCAAACATGTTTGGATATATATATATATATTAATTCTTGACATTCTGATAAGAATATTGTTTTTATTGCTTGTTAGGTATTTCAGGGATTTGCGGGATTTCTATCGTTTTTTGTATCGTTTTTCCCTAAAAACCATGGTTCTTTTATGATATCCCCACCTATTTTACCAGATCAAAAAATCCCCCAGAAATCCCCAGAAATGAGAAAATAGCTATTAGAAAAGCCATAGGTTAATAAGATAAACCAATAAATCTATCAATAAATAGCTATAAATCTATATCTATAAAAAGGCTTGTAGATAATGAATAAATTTATAGATAATATCAATTTATAGATAATATTATAATAAATAGATTAAAACCAATGGAAATAAATTTATCAATAAATCAATATATCTATATAGGTGTGTGTGCGCGCGTGTGTCTCCTATCATTACCATCTTTGGAGGAATAACCATCCAACATGCAACTATTCTTGGCTACCATCCGGGCACCAGGGTTTTGACCCATGATCGTCATAATGACATGTCTTAGTTGTCCCTCTCACTCCCAGCAGCTGCCGGTTAGACAGGTTCAGCTGCAAGAGCTGTCAGTTTCATCTTTGCGGAACCTGTGCCAGGCACCGAATGGCACCGGATCTCCGGTTCAAAGTACCTCCCAAGCGACAAATGGATTGATGCAGGCAATGCAATTCAATAAACAATTCGGGGATGGTAAACATCGCACCCATAAAAATGCTGATGACGTAGGGGTGTTTATGGCATTGGGTTTACCATTATATGTTTTTTTGCTAGATCCATGGCGCTGAATCCGATCGCTGTTTGGGGATGAACAGTGACCCAGTTGAGTTTCGCTTAAAATCCCTAGGTCCTCGGTCCTGTCTTGTCCTGTCCGGTCCTGTTCCTTCAGAAACTTCAGGTGAAAACTCATTTGAGATTATGATGTATTGCCTATAGTGATCCTAGATATGCATTTATAGTAGAGTGGGGGAAGCATACATATATATATATACATAAATTATATATATATGTACTGTATGTATGTATGTGTGCATGTATACATGGGATGGGTTGAAACCGCCAACTATATAGTACCAACAGTCATTTTGAAATCCATCAAAATTCCCATGTTGCACCGTTTTTAAGGCTCTTTGTGCAGCTTTGCTATCCATTTATTTTCGATTTACTGTGCACTTGTCTTAGGAAGTACATGTCCTTTTCTCCATATACACCCTCAAGAAAACATGTTCAATGTTCACTTGTCGCAGGTTGGCAGCCACTGTTGCTCCGGGAGCACCCGCTGTGGTAGGCGCACGGGATTGTTTATATTTGAATGGAGATCACCTGGATATACCTTGGATGGCTAGTTGAATAGTTGAATGCACTATCTTGTGCGGCAAAAATGGCAATCTGTCTGTCTGTCTGTCTGCCTGTCTGTCTGTCTATTCACGGGCTAACGACTCGTTTCCTCAGGGACTGCAGGTATCCAAGGATGTCCTTGGACATAACTAACCACAATAAACCTCATCAATATCCATTATAAGTATAATTCAAGTGCCATAAACCATACATGCATTGGAGTTATCAATTGGCTTAGCTATTTTGGCCCCACCTTCCGCCGACATCTGGAATTCCCAGGTGGATTTTGGGTATTTCTTGGGGTTTAATCAGCCAATGAATGAGGTGTTCATCCACATGATCTTGGGTCCCATTTGTACACATCCACATCATTGTCACGCATATCAACACATATTTGACATATATCAAGTCGTTCTTCAGTTTTGTTTTTTTGGGATGATGTTGATTTATCTTTGTTGGTTATAGTTTTACACTTTGGAGGTCCACAATCGTTAATGTTTGGGTTTACCGAACAGGCCACTGTTGGAGTGCGCAAATGGCAGCATTTCCTAAGGAAACAGTGAGTTCTTTGTTTTTGGTTTTGTATGCCTAGAGAGTTGATATTTGGCAATTTCTCTATGTGCTCACCTCTAAAGTGTCTCTCCTCTTAGGCCCCATCCAATCCCACCAAAACACAAAAAAACATCAACAAATGCAGAACCCAAGATAACCCAAGTCTCTGTACCGTCTCTCCCCCTTGGGGTTTGCAATTTTGTTTTGTTTTTGTTTATGTTGTTTCTGTTTGTTGGTTTCTTGTGTTTTTTTTTTCCATTTTGGTGTTGGTGGGATTGGATGGGGTCTAAGACGAGAGAAGCTGTAGAGGGGTGATCCATACAGTTTACGGTCAGTGTTTCCCCAGTGGTTCAGAGTTTGCATAATCTAAACACGGACCAATATTTACTACAAATAGTACTGCAATCTAGTGCAATGATATCTTAACAGTTTACCATAGTAATTTTATGTAACTATGAATGATCTTCAACACCTAAATTTCCCATACCATCTCGACCAGTGGCACATCTGCCGGTAGGAGTCCCAGGGTATCCGGTACCAGTGATCCTTGGACCATCGGCACCATCGGCACCATCGGCACCACCAGCTACGCCCTCACAGCCCAGCTGCAAATGGGGTGCCCACGGGCTGGTGCATCGGCCAGGGCACCGTTTTTTCAATAGCTAAGTTGGTGCAAATAACTAGGTGAACTATGGTGTATGGTAGATATATGTAGATATATGTATATATATATATGTAGATATATATGTAGATATATGTAGGATTATTTAGGTAATAATCATTATGTATGGTAGATATATGTAGGTATATGTAGATATATGTAGGATTATCACCATTACTCTAGGATTATACTATAATATCGAACTAGGTAATGGTGATGAAACACCCAAATTATATCGAACTACTCAATGAATTCCACTGGGGGCCATCGCCTTGAGCGGGGACGCTGACTGTCATCCTGGGTTGGGGCCATAACATGGCATAACCCATTGTGTCTCCCGTGGCGTAGCTGATTGAATCCAAAAGTCTTATCCCGGTTTTGAAAGGTCGACTTCCCTGGTACTTGGTGTGATTTCATTCATCTTCGCCCTGGTGCTGTCCCATGTGTAATTGGGCATCCTGTCCTTAGATATTGACCAACCACCCAGAGGCATGAACATCCAAGTGAAGTAGTGCGTATATAATTAGCCGAGGTGCTTGATGAGTGCCATCAGGTAGTTTGTGCAGATCTGAGGGATGAAACACTTCCGCCCGTCTTCCAAATTCCAAGTTTTCTCCTGGGTTTTTCCTTGTTTTACATTGTTTTACCGTACAACGCGCAAACATATTGAAAAAAAACACATATTGTTTAAACAAAAAATATGTTTCAGTTTTTTTTGGGTTGCCATAATTCGCGTAAGATGTTCCCTGTGTTTGCGTTCAATATGTTTTCTCCAATTGCTGACCAGGTCGGCGACCGGAGATGAATGGGATTTCAGACAACATGCCCGAGTCGTGACAAGCTGAATCAAATATACCCTACATTTGAATGTTTTAAATTGTTAACTCGAAATGTAGGGTGTATGTGATGTAGGGTTTTTCTAATTTGTGATGATCAACATGATCAACATGTCCTAAATCATATGGGATCATCAAAACCAACTCGAAATTGATAACTGTTTGATAACTTGTTTTTGGCACGTCAAGATGCGCCATGTGAAGTCTTAAGAACGAGACATGCCGTGCCCCGGAAACATGGCACGCGCACACTGGCACACGGTGCATCCGAGACCTGCGCATTGCAGCAGGTTCTCCCGTCAATGATTCTCAGAAACAAATGGATGATGTTGAATGATCCGCAGTATGGTGGGGATACCGAAGTGGACACCGCCGTTGCCCCCGTGGACAATCTGGAGCCTTCACCACAGAGACCATCCTAGGGTGGATCCGTTGCAAGCTGAGATGCTGGTAGCTCTAGCGGCTGAAAATGCGGTTAAATATGGTTAAATGACAAATTAGACAAACATCCGCAAACATCCGTTTTGCGTGGGCATGTCACCCGTGCTCATGCATGTTTGATGCCTGATCGTTTCCTGGAATCCTGGAACGGTGATCTGCAAAAGTCATGGCCATGATTGATTCAGGAGCAAAATTGCCCCAGGACCAGTTGCAAAGTTCAATCTGTGACAAGCAAGGGGTATTAAATGTCAAAGGGTGCGACTGTGGATTTACAATCGTGGAAAGGGGGGATCCGCTTTCATAGAAGTGTGTGCAGTTTGTATTCAAGTTGCCTTGAAATTTTGTTAGTGATTGTTTTCTTTGAAACATGATTAATGGATACAATCTGTTCATTACCCTCATTGAGGGTGTTGTTTTTTTGGGGGGGAGGGGGGTTTCCAACGCATTTTCCATAATTTTCCATTTGCATTGTTTGAGAGGGATTGTGTATATATATATATATGTGTATATATTTATATATATATACATGTATAATATATATATATATATATTTCTTCAATTTCATTATATACCCTAAGCCCAAAGCACTGCATTGGGGATAATTTGCTGATTCCATTTGCTGAAGATGCTTCTATTTTTTCCATTGGTTCATTCACTATTTGAGGAATCTACAGGGACATACAGGGACTATGCGGTGTCCCTATGAGGCTGTCAATGCATGAGGGCTAAACCCAGTGATCATACCGATACCTACCCGAAATCGGGGTGATTGGGTGTCCCCTGCATGACCTCATATTGGGGTTGTGAGGAGAGATTTAATGGGATTGATTAATCCGTTAATTATCCATCAATTGTCTCTTAGTTGTCCATTAGTTAACCATCAATCATCAAATTTATGACACACTATACAATGAAACATCCCAGACAGCTAGGTAATCATCAGTTGATATATGTACATTTCACAACATGTTTCATATCCATCATCAATGTTGATCAATACACTTATACATGTGAAAACCGACGAAAATCCCACCATGAATGCATGAATCTCCCAGATCTTCGGTTCGTCAGGTGCTGAGTGCTACAATCACGATCCCGAGCATCGGCGTAAGTTTGTGGGAACCCCTGGGTCGAGCCAAACCTGGGGAGAAGATGAGATCATGGGACAATTGTGTTTCACGTTGTTTTACTATAGGATGGTAAATATGTCAATGGATGTTTACAAAAAATCTGGTGACATAACTAACATATACCAAAGTTTCAATCCATGTTTTTAAGATCCGAAATAACATGGAATTGTTTAACCAACAAACAGGGTGACAACAATGGTGATCATAATACTTCAACGGGCGTCAATACAAGGTGGTGCCCCATACTTGGGATATATAAGCTAAGTTGGATTGTAACTTTGTTGTCTAGGGTTCACGGTAAATATATCGACCATTATCGAACTGGTTCATGTTTTTTGTTTAACCAATATTAACCACCTCATAATTAACCGGGGAACACCACCTGGTAGGGATGTGAAGGACCACATCTCTAGGGATATGTGACATGATTCTGCTCGGAATTAACCAAACCATTTGGCAGTCCAACACCATAGCCCAACTTCATACATGCACGCATGATACCACAGCCTACGTAAAATCGTTGGGGGATGCAATAGAAGCATTCCGGACATGCAGCGTTTTCCGACATGGGATGCCGTTTAATTGTACGAAAAGCAAACACGATACATGTGCCAGTTTTTCAGTGGCCCGAACTAGATCCTTTGCCATACTTACATAGTTGGGGTTTTATGGGTTACTACCGTGGTTAAACAGCCTCAACTGCCCAAGCTTTTGGCTCGCTGCTTCAAGATGCGACCAGCTGGTGAATTTTCTCTCGTGCGAAGGCACACGGCAGTATATCGACACAATGGTTGCAAGTAGCTTCATTTGTTTTGTTTTGTTCTACCCACTGGGAATTACTGCAACAGTTTGCTATTGAACATTACCAATCATAATGTCTTACACAGGTCGATTTTCCATAGCTATGTTAGAGCACAATAAGTTTTCAGGGGTCATTGTCAGGAATGGCGGTTTCAAATCTATCTGTTGTTTCCATCTATTGGAAGGAATCTTTCTCGGTAGAGGGGACGAGGGCTACACAGCACTCAAAAGGGTGAGTTTGTCTTGTCTCAATCTGAAAACACAAGGTACAGTACCCCCAAATTTGCTGGTGTATCATTTTGTCTCTATTAGACATGCCATAAATCCGGCATGCTTTCAAGACAAACCCAACATCATAGTGGTTAGTTCTATTCCAAATAGCCATGATGGTGTGAGAGTCAGAAAACCTTTTGGCGATGCAGTGCATCCCATTGTATCCTCAGTTCTCCAAAGTCCATGCTCATCTCATTCAAATTATCCCATGACGATATCCTCAAAATATACAGCTGTAAATGTTACATGTACATATCCCCATCAAATTATACCTCAAGTTCATTTTTGAATATGATGTTGCTCCCATTTTCAAAGCTTTGGCCTTCAGCTCGCCATGTGGAAGTCGCGGCTTTCACGGCTTTCGGCCGCCATGTGTCGGTTGACGGCGCGACCGGAACGCAGGCCTCAGATCTGGGCGATCGATGTGTTGTATGGCTAACATCGGTTCACCATATCAAGGTTTCCATCAATGGGGGTACCATCCATTTTCATGGGATTTCCCATGAAATAAAGCATCGAGCTATTGGGGTCCCCCCATTTTAGGACCCCCCCAAATATGTATAGGAAGAAATGATGTCATTTTTCCGATTTTTCTACGCGACAGGGGGACAATTCCCGTTTATATGTGATGACATGCAGTCATAAAGTTCATTCATCAGCCATATCAGATGATACCCTCTGGTAATTTAACATAGCTATTGAATGCTATTGAAAATGGTCCATTTATAGTGGATTTACCAATTAAAATGGTGATTTTCCATAGCTATGGTAAATTACCAGATGGTAACAGCCGGAGAAATCCTCAAAAAATGGAGAGTCGATCCCCTTGACCTCCGGTCATCAAGATCTCCCGAAGGAAGATGACAGGTTCTGGTCCGCCATTCGGATCCATCAGGCGCCGTAAAAACAAATCAGGAAGCTTGTTGACCTCCGATTACGTCATGTCTTATATCTGATTATATACTTTAATGCTCCAAACGCCTTTCGAACATTTCTTTCGACGATTCGATGGTGTTTTTTGGGGTCCAACACCTTCTCGCATCTTTTCCGCGGTTACATCATGTTACATCATGTGTTGCCTTAGGACAAACTGACATAGATATCTAAAATCAACCATTTCTAGATTTTTTTCTTAGGAAAACCATTGGTTTTCCATATGTTTTAGTTATTACCCCAGGGCACATCCCATTTTTGTCCTGGTCAACCCCCGTTGCGGCCTGCGACCTCAGGCCCTTCTCCGCGTCCACGTGGCCGGCTCGAAGCGCAGCCCTGCGATGCCAAGAGGCGCAGAAGGAGTCTCCGCGACTTGGTTTTTTTGGAGCTGTGACTTGGAGCAGGCGCTGGGTAATGTCAACCCCGGATGAGACTAAACCATGGTTTATTAATTAGGGGTACTCCTCCAAGAGTCATTTCATCTGATACTTTTTTATGGTACCCTCCCAATTGAACAGCCTAGGGGGTTATTAATCCAGGGTTGACATTAATCACCAGATAGTTCATATTTCCCCCCAAAAAAACTAGAGATTTATTATGATTGACTGTATAGGGTTTACCCTTTGGTGAATTGAGATAGCTATTTTCAAAACGGCCAATGTGTAGACGATTTTGTTTTTATGATTTGCCTATTCAAAATGTTGGGTTTTGAAAAAGGGGTGTGCAATTTTACAATGAAATATTTAATATCCAAAACAAATATGTTGGATAGGAATTACTTTTATATGAATGGTATATATAGGGATGGTATGCTGATAAAGGGATTACCCCCTGGTAATTTGACATAGCCTTTGAACATAACCCATTGAGTTCGATGATTTAGCGTTTTTTAGAATATGAATTTCAATAGCAAACTGTTAAATTACCCGAAGGTAGTATTTGGTTGCTACAGCCCCTTACAGGTAATTGATAGCCGCAAGGGCGTGTGTCATTCTACCCCGATACTTCGCCAATTTACCACCTTGTACCTGTGGTATTCGGAGCAACCCTAGAGAGTAAATGGTTTATAACCCACATTATGTAATATAACTTGGGGCAATGCGTGGGATGCACCCAATCCCTACTCGACTTCAGATGAAGCCAGATATATTGGTAGGATGCAAATCCAAGCCATGATGGTGCAACATCTACCAGCATTTGTCCCAAAACACATGCTCAACAAACCCCTCTAATCTCTTCCCCCTAGTATGAAAGACACCAAAAACTCAAAGCGCCAGCCTTTTTATATCTTTTTATGTACTTTGTTGTTTTCTAATTTTTGGGTTCCATCAGGCTGGTATTTAATACCAGGCGGACGGGATCAATTGAACATGCCAGCATGAATGCTATCGCCTTGCATTGGGTCTTTTGCATCTCTTTTGGCTATTCGGCGGCTGACATTCTGATGACTTCTTCCCTTTTTCCTCCCTGGGTCAATCTTGCCCAAAACATGAAGCGGGATTTTGCTGCAGAATGCTGCTTGTTTGGGGAGTCCTAGAAAAATCCTGGATGTTTTGATCTTCAGTACCAGAAGCTACTAGGCAAGCAGGGTATGGATCCCTCAAACCCACAGCTGGAGAGGTGGCAAGAGGATCTCTTATTTTTTTGGAATTTGTTGCTACGTTATTTCACATTTTATAACTGGGGTTTTAACCCTTCATTATCAAATTAGTTCAGCAGGACTTGTAACCTTCACTTAACTCATTTGCTTGTTGCGCCTTGTTTCGGACATTCCTAAAGCGATACAAGAAACGATAGATTCCGATAGATGTCATGGCAAACTCATGAGAAACTATGCTATAAGCCAAGCCGCTAACCATTTCCCAAAAAGTCTGAGGCCCCGAACTGTGAACAGTTGTTGATTTTTGGTCCCATCCAACGATGCAACATGGTGGGTCAACCGTAGGGGTTTGCCGAAGCAAACAAGGTTTCTGAGCTCGTGACCATTGGGCGGGTGGGGGGGTGGGGGGGGTTGGGGGGTGGGGGGAGTAATAACGTTCAGGCAGTTTGCGTTCCATAGAACTCATTATCCAACATTGGAATAGCTGTCCGTGGGGTGTGGGGGGGTGGGGGGGGTTGGGGGGTGGGGTGAAGAGGGGCCCTAGCGTCTACTTCAAGATCAGCTAAGGCGTCTTCCCCAATGACAGCACTATTTTACTCTCAGCCTGTTGCCGGTCAGTGCTTGTCTATACCTCTTGAGCCTTGAAGGGCGCATCTAAATGTGCTCAATACTCATGCATGTACCTCTGTAGATATTAGGTCGAAACAAAAACATGGGGGGGGAGTAATAAGGTTCAAACAATTCATCGAACAATAGCACCAAACATTCGAACAATTCATCGAAACTCAACATGGCTCCGAAGGAAATCTAATTATGCTGTTCCAATAAAACACACAACTTTATTTCTCTTTCCAACAAATCACAAGTTCAAAAATCCTGCTAATTTTTCCGCGGGATCCCGCGAAAAAATCTTGTTCGCAAAACATGAACCTGGTTCAAACAATCATCCCTTATCATGCAAACATCTTGCAAATGCTAATGTGAAACCAATGAAAAACACTGAAAATACCATGAAATTTCCTCCTACTAAACGGCTGCGGATGGACATACATGATCTTTACCCTTCTTGCAAACTCATTCCGACTCATGGCAACCCCCCCCGGCAAACCCAACATGGTGCAACCACTAATCCAACAATTTTGTGATTGACTGTAAGCCAACAGCCAACGGAAACCTATAGACTTTCATAAAATCCCAACATAAACTTTCATAACATCCCAACATTTCCCATATATATATATATATATACATAGTTAAATTACCATTGTTCCTGGTTTAAGTGCCATTTTTTTGCTGGTTCAAATCACCATTTCCAGGTTGAAACTTCCTTTTGTTCCCTCGGTTTCGAACTCCAGATCCAAGGCTCGTGGCGGATCCTTGCGCATGTCTCCTCTCAGACGCGTTTGCTGGGGAGATTTCGGAGGAGGTGGGACGGGCCCCCATGGCTAAGTTGGTTAAACTCCATGAGCCATAGCTGCCATAGCTATAATTATTTTAGATCACCCACCCCTAAACATGTATTTTAGGGGGGGGAGAGGTTGGGGAAAAAAAATACATTTACCGTTCTCCAAGAATTTGATTCCCCAGGACCCCCCCTAAATACATTATTTGACCGGTGGGTGTACGTTAAATGTAGGATCCATGGGTCGGGATATCCAACCCCCCCCCAGGATCTTTTATTTTGGGGGGGTGGTTTAATACATTTTACGGGTTTGGTTTTTCCAGGATCCCCGGGAATGCTTAATTTTTTTCTGGGAATACCCTTCTTTGAAAAATGTATTTTAAGGGGGTTGGGTAGCCGAAAAGCACATCATTTTTGGAAAATGGAGGGAATAGATCTGGCTAAGGTAGTCATTGGTACCCCCTGCAATGCATACATTTCAGAATATTTAAGATCAAGTATATTTCAGCATCCCCCTTGGAATTTCCTCTACAGAATCGGGAACGTTACTTCCTGGAAAATGGTGCATTTTAACCCCCTGACTTAATAAGGGGTACCTACCCAGTGTCAACGCTTAGTGTCAACGGTTTCAATTTTATAGAGGACCTTGGGGCCTCTAATTCTATAGAGATTTCATGTTGAATGCAGCACTGAGGACTAGTCAGCAGAGAGTCTTAGGGACTGCGATTCTACAGTGGGATACGTTCTCTTTGGATGTATGTCATGTTCTTCAATTTTATAGAGAAGCATTGGCAGAACCAATCTCCCACAACAATTCTTTCATCATCCTTCATCATCCTTGATCATCCTTGTATATTTGGAATCATTTGGAATCTTGACATATTTTTGGAAACTTTTGGATACTTTTGGGATATATTGGAGATTTGTTGGAGATCTATCATCAGGGTTTCATCAGTTATCATCAGTTATATTCAGCAAATATGTACAATTTTGACATTTTCCCATTGTTCTTCCCCCGTTGTGTCTCCCCTTTCTTTCTCCCTGTTGTGTCTCCCCAGTGTGTCTCACCGTTTTTGGGTCGAAGTCCTCGAGCCAGCCTTTCCGCCTTTCTAAAAAAGAGCAAACAGATGGATACAACATGAAACAATTTTGAAACAAGATCTTGAAACAAACATGAAACAGAGCATTTTTCACCAGTCTATGAAATTGAAGGGGTTGACAGTGAACACTTGGAGCCTTTGAACTCTATAAATTTGGGAGTGCATAAGGCAAGCTAGGCAAGAGTAACTGGAGCATTCAGGTCAGCTGTCAATGAAGGAGACTTGGGGAACCTGATTTTATAGAAGGCCAACTAACCCCCCCAACCATCTACGAGAGTGACTTGGCGGCATCGATTCTATAGAGATTGTCAACTTGAAAATACCTTGGGGTCTCTGATTCTATAGATGCATTTTCAGAAAGAGGGTCAGGGCCTCCCGGATTATCATTATAAAATTGTCAACACCAACACTCTCACTTAATTCAAAGGGGGATATTTCAGCCATTTTATGGCCCATGGGTTTCAGTAGGTTTCCCAGGAAAAAAAGGTCAATTGGATTGAGGTGCAGACCCCCCCATGCTTGCATACATTTAGAAAAGTTTATGTATCCATTGGCTCTTGTCAGTGGTGCCCCCCACAAAGCATACATTTTCAGGTTCAATACCCCTACCAATAATACATTTCCAGCATCTGGCACTCATACATGCCTCATTTTGAGGGGTTACCCCCCCCCTAGTTCCCATACATTTTTGGCAAAAAGTGAGGGGGTTAACCCCCCCCTTATGTTCACACATTATCAGAAATGTAGGATCCACCCCCCCTACTCCTGAACCAGTTGGGGTCGGGGATTATTTTAGTCATAGTTGCTATAAGGAAATTGGAGATGAACACACCAACTTATCTATTTTGTTTTCCCCACCTGACATATTGGAACCAGTTGAGCAGTGACCAGACCCAGATTGATTGATTTTCAAATCGGGGTATACCACCTTATTTACGCACGTGTTTTTTTTGTTCATCACTCGTAATGGCATTCCTTATTATTGTAACCGCCAGTTTACTCAGGGGGTGTACAAAATTCAACGCATTTTTCTATTTTGGGGATGCCCGCCCATATTAATCGCGGAGCGGGGTTTACTCATTCAGGGTTGACGTGATGGGTTTCTGAGTTTGCCTGAGATGGGTAGCTGATTATGTTTTTTCTTGGCCATAAATGGACACCTGTATACTGTATTCTCCAGCAAAACGCATGTTTAGTGCAGGGACCGAAGATTTGCCATCGTTTGTCTCAAAATAGTGTAGCCCAGAATCCATATCGTTTTGACATATCACCTTCACGATCAAATTTTGGACTTGCCCATGGCTAGAAATTGATGGATTGGAAAGAAAGACAGAAAGACAGATGGATAGATGGATAGATGGATAGATGGATAGATGGATAGGTGGATAGGTGGATAGGTGGATAGATGGATAGATGGATAGATGGATAGATGGATAGATGGATAGATGGATAGATGGATAGATAGATAGATAAACATGTGAAGGTATGATTAGCAGGTCTTGCGTATGGGTTGGCTCTTCTCAGGAACGGAACTCTGGGCCAGGTCAATTGGGAGACGAGACAATTTCTTGAACCTGACATGTTTTTCGTGATGGCATTTTGTTGTTTTCGGTGTCGCCAGGTATACCCTCTGGTAAACTAACATAACATAACTATGGAAAATCACCATGTTTAATAGGTCAAACTACGTTAAATTACCGGAGGGTATGTTATATATATATATTTGAATCAAATCCAACTGGCTCCATTTTTTGAACACAAAATAAATGGTGGTTCTTTTTCAAGCTTTATGATTTGCTTGCGTTTGACTGAATCATGACGGTTTTCCATCCCCAAAATGGAAATGAGAGCATGATGCCGCACATGCATTGATCCTTTTCCGCTAGTAAGAAACGCCTGCCCAGGCCCTTGTGCTTATATTTGTGCATGTGTGTCCCAAATTTGTTGTCAGCCAAGAAAATCCTTTTATTCCAGTTGCTAGGAAAAAAACATGTTGTTCCAGTTGCATCCCATGTTTCCCTATGGCGCGAGTCAACTGCATCCGGCCCGTGGAGGATGGGACGTTCATGTGCCTCACTGCCTTCGTGGATCGCATGCTCATGGATGCCGTGTCCAGGCCGGGTCAACCTGGGAGACAACGACTCAGCACCTCATGATAGGGGGATCGAATGGGGAACAACCTTATTTATTTTTTATAGGAATGGGCAATGGGGATTGACAATTTTGTGGTAACATATGCATATATAATCATATAAAACAATATATACATCACAAATACATAACAACAAGCAACAATGGTGTTTTACTGGGCCTATTGTTTTGATATTATGGGACATATCATGGAAATATGTAGAATGTCATGATTTCTTTATGGTGATTTTTTGTGGGCAGTTTAAATGTATAATATGCAGCAATGCATATAGTAAGTCCTTTAAAGATGCCGAAAAGTACATCCCCACGATGAACATAGTGAAGATTTGAACCTGTTGATTTTTGTTCATCGTTTGCGATGGAATAATCGGCAAAAAAGACACTGCCACTTTTTTTTGGAGGGTAGGGTAGGGCTTCTAAGACTGACCCTGGCTATTTTGGATGATTTTCGGACACTTTCTGGATCTGCAACCTTTATTAGGCCTGACTATCGTGTGCGGAACATGTTCAAGTTTGGGATCTGCAGCAATAAACCATCCCCAATTGTCAAGCTCAAATGGTGACTTCTAAATCATCCCAAGCAGGGGTACGCCCAATCAAACAAAAAGGAACACACAATCACACAGAACTTGATACAAATCGCGGGTGTTGTAGGCCCCCCATTAACCAGGGGAAAAGATCTGAACCATCAGATTTTCAGGAGGGTGTGCTCGCAGTAACGTGCACGGGATTTATCCCAATCAAACGCAGCAATGGAAAATCCTCTATAAATGCAGGTGTTTCATGATCTTAGTGGGAACAAATCATCTATAAATTCTATCAATGCTGGATTTCCTCGCAAACCACGTTTCATTACCTGAGGATAGTATCGCATGTTTGTTCTGGGACAACTTTAAGTGGATCGACTGGTGGTTCCTTGGCAGACGGGATGATTTAGGATGATGCTTCTTCACTGTTCTGATTGGATTTTCTCTTTAGTAATCGAACATGTCAATGGCGTCAATGGACACTTCCCCATTTAGTTCGATGATTTTCCAATTTCGAATGCCCATTTAGCCTGAGGATCTCCCAGCTTGCCACATTCATCTACCAGATAGTATCTAGATCCTTTCGTTATCTTTAATTCAATGATATACCAGTTTTACCATGTTTTACCCATGGTTGATGCGTTGTTTTACTGTCCCGGGGACGTGCCGCCGGCGTGGCTCGTTGAAATCCCATGACATGTCGAGCCAGGCGCGTGCGGCAAGTAGTGCTGTGGCGATCTGGGACAGACACGCGGGCCTTTCGTCACTGGGCGATAGACCATGGCGATGGACCATGGCGATGATGGCAGAGGGCCCACGGATAAAGCATGATAGCTGGTTGGTGCTTTGGAACATGAATTTTATTTTCCCATATATTGGGAATGTCATCATCCCAACTGACGAACTCTCTCATTTTTCAGAGGGGTGGCTCAACCACCAACCAGGGATAGCCGTTGAAGCCAGTGAAATGGCCCAGTACCAAGACTTAGAGGTAGATCATCGAACTCAACGGGCCATTTTCCGTATCATTGATACAATGTGGGCCCCCCCAGTTATAAATTGGTTTATAAACCCCAGTAACTATAGTTATAAGTATCATAAACCATAGTTATTGCTGTTATAAACCAACTTAGCTATCTAGGGGGCCCCACTTTGTATGTATGTTGAGTTGAATTGCCATGTGCTGATGATGTTGCTTGATAATTGGAAGGATCAAGAAACTCATGAATCGCTCCCTCAGGTTTATTGACTAAATCCGTGATTGCCGGTTCTGCAACTTCGACCCATACCCAAATATATCCCAAATATCAATGGCATCGGATAAGTGCAAATTTCCAAACAAAACACAGACCAGAACAGAGGTTGCTAAATGTCCCGCTTGGGGATGTTGAACATCACTTTCAATAATCTGTTGGAGATGTGTTTTTTCTGGTGGTGATGTTCTTTTCGTAGCACATTTACCAATCCCTGCGGAAAGAACATAGACAAACCATACTTGCCCTTTTCGGGATGAGGGCTCCTACGAATTTCTTCCCTCTTGGAAGAACTACTTCCTGTACGGAACCTAAGCATGAAGAAATCTACTACATACGCGATCGTACGCGTTTCACTAGAGTTTCTGGGTGGATTTGCAAGATTCAAGGGAACGGATTTTGTGTTTAAGACGAATCAGCGTATATTTCTAAAAATCATGTTTTTACAATGCTGCATTACCAATGTCCGGGAGAAATCCCTTAGGGCCGATCCTGTTTGAAGGCTTTCTCCTGTCTCTCATGCTTTCCTCTATTTCCATCACCTCCAGCACCTCCCGTCTTGAAGATCTTAAGATCGTTCCACACTTTGACAAGCACTGATTTTGAAGCTCCAGCATTTGTCACCTGATGGCGCTGGAGAACCCGGAGAATGACCCCACAAGTCCGTAATGACAAGTGGGATCCCGGTCTGCAATGATGAGTGGCCTTGAAACTATTAAACAAGTGGCTTAAACCTGTTACCTTAAGAGATTGTAAAGATGTTCAACCCATTTGCCATCTAAGCATCCATGTAAGTACCGCGCTTGTTCAACTTTGTTCCCCTCATTTTCCCGTGTTTTTCTTCAATTTTCCCACTGAGATATTGCAGCTATTGTGTCCATGGAAGGTTCATCCATCATCCAACTACAATGTGAGGCCCCCCAGTTATACGTTGGTTTAGATTCGCCCCAGTAACTATAGTTATAAGTACCATAAACCATAGTTATTGGAGTTATAAACCAACTGAACGCTATCTTGGGGGCCCCACTTTGTACCATAAGTTCCATCCCTTTCAGCAGCACCGAGGTCTTCATTTGCCACCTCAGGTGCGTTTCATTGAGGTGGACGATGCAGAGGTGCACCAGGCACCAGGGTTTTTACAGACAAAAAGATGTTGAAAATCTAAAAACCCATAGGTTTTCCATGGTTTTTGGTCGGAAAATGATCTACTTTCATTTTGGGTAAACTCCACATCGAAACGTTTACGGGAGGGTACCCCGCAAAAATTGGTGCACATTTGCAGAAATTTACCCTTCCGTAAAAATGTTGACATAGATGTGGAAAACCCACCGTGAAAGCAAATAATGTTCCGAACGGAAACCATGTTTGTTTTCTTGTTTTCCACATTTTTTTATATGTTGACCCTGGGGTAAGCATCAAACATATAGATAAAGTCTATTTATGTATATTTCCACCACCCTAATATTAGACACCATGGTAATTGTGTTGTATAATCCCTTAATGGTCATGGAGCAACTGGAAAGCTCTGACGCCAGTCCCAAACCATGATGATCTCACAGCATCGATGGCGCAAGTGATGGTGTAATTCAACCTGGAAACCCTCTATATGTGTATAACTGGGTGGTGGTTTGGAACATTTTTTATTTCCCATATATTGGGAATGTCATCACCCCAACTGACTTTCATATTTTTCAGAGGGCTGGCTCAACCACCAACCAGTTGTGTATAGGTTTTCGATGTTTTATCCTCTAATTCAGCCCAACCTCATGGCTTAACTTCTTAAATATTACTCATTTTCAAGGATTCTCCGGTGTTCAATCTGTCAATGGTTTCCCTACATGGAGGTCCTACATCCGAGGTTTCCTAAAATGGGGAGTACTCCTCAAATGTTTATCAAACAATATTCCTAATGGATAACTTTCTACTTGTATCACTATTATTTACAGTAATATATACTGTGTATATATATATATATATTAGTTATATATATATACATATTATCTACAGATGATCTAATGATTTTAGTTATTTAGATATAACAATTCTTGAACCTCACTGTTCAGTATGGTTTTCTATTGGCCAGGCAAAGTCGGCCGTGCTGGAGGTGGCCAATGCGCGACCGCGTTGCTCCTTGCAGCGAGTGGTGCCCGAACAGCTGCCGGAAGTCATGGCAGCTGGGCGGGACGCGGCGGAACGCGGGGCTGGTGGCATGTTGATGGGTTAATGATCATGGATTAATACTAGGTAAAATGGGTCGAGTGTTAAAATGGCTTCAGAATGGTGAATAGTGTGAATAGATGTGAATAGTGGTTATAATATGTTATAATCATGATGATGCAGTGCCATGGCTCATAACTGGTGAAGATCATGATGCGATTCGTGGGAGGATCACCGGGTTGCATGGTGCCCCCATATGGGATAGCCGGGGTAGCCTCAAAAACATTGGCCGGCTGGGAAATCCCCGAAGATGGAGGTGTTAAGATTGAACATCATCGAACTAAATGGGGACTGGTCTATTGTCATGTTTGATTATCAGAAGGGAATTGTGGCAATAAATATCATCTCCAATATGACCGTTGTATACACATATCGAAGGGGTAGGTTGACAAGTTGATTTTGGGGTTTACCACATTACGTAGCTAGATTGGTTTGTAGGTGGGTTAAATATAGACCTTGTTGGGTTTGTGGTAGATCTATAGCAAAAAAATGGGCTTATCCTCTGAACCATGATCATGGGATGGGATGATGTGCTCGTCCAATGGTTGAACCATCCCTCTTGTTGGAGTTTATGATTAACTAGTGGGTATCTATTTAAGGGATGATTTGAAGCAGTTTCATGCGATGATTTGGGTGGTGGTATAACTTATACAACAATGGGAATATTCGGGTAGAATGAGGTCTTGGATTTATTCAGGAACTGAGGGCTGAGGGGGTGATGTTGCTTATTGATTGATCTAGGGCCGCCGTGAAACACATTTGCTGGGGAGTCACAAAACAGGAAGCGTGCAATAATCTGAATTAATGTGACCAACAATATTCAATATAGAGATCATGAACGCATGCGACCTTCTGCATATGTGTCAAAAATTCTGAACCTGAAGATTGGGTGGCTAAATAATGTAGCAAATCCACAACGTAACAAACTATTATATATGTTGAAATGTTTTATGACATTCAGATAGTTGGGATGGTTTATCATTGAGTTTACAACGTAATTGGGGTTTCAATGGCAATGCAACTGTGAATAATGGGACATAGATTGGTAAATTGTTTTAAGTGTTAAACCATCAATTTAACATTGTTACTTGGGCAAACTGCTAAACCATTGAGTTGCGACGTACCCTATTGTCAGAATGACATGGTTTGTAACCTATTGTCAGAACAAAATCTTACCAACAATAGAGATCGATAACTTGGGCTATGATTGGATATCATGAGATTTAAAACCAAAAACATACGGGACATTTTGCTTCATCCACCAGGAATACCTCCCCAACAGCAGCGTAGCCTTCTTTCAGGATCCGAGGAAGGCAAGTTTCATTGTGCTGGAAGATCTGTCACTGGAGGATGGCCCTTATGTGGAGCAGCTGTCGAAAGAGACTCTTGGACCATGCGGGATATTGTGGGATTGTTTTTGAAGAAAGATGGAAGGGTGGTCCTCGGTGAGTGATTTTCTATATTACCCACCAAAAAGATAGAACACCGATCTATTGTTTGTTTAAGATTTTAAGCATTTTACTCTTCTATTCTATCTTTTTTGAGGTTGATATACATGATGAAAAGGGCAGCAACAGCCCAGCGTACCTTGGTTGAAAGCAGTCAGATAAAAAAAATATCTGCCAGAAAAAATCTCTGCCAGAGAGCACGGCCAGCTGGTGAGGACCCCCAGTTGAAACTTGCTTTATAAACCTATTCTACAACTCTATATTATATATATATATACCTCAGAAGCTCTAGTTAACCACTCAAGTTATTATGAGTCAACGTAGCTATCTAAGGGACCACATTGTATACATGGTTTTGCCGTTTTGCCCCATCCATTTCTCGGCCTTGGACATCCGCTTCCCCCCAGGCTGGTGGCTGAGGGCAGTCGAGTGGTGGTAGTGCTCAGGGACGATTCTGACAGCAGCTCCGCTTGGTGAACGGAGTGAGCGGTTCGGAGCTAGTGGTATTCACATTGCCGTTAGAATGTGGGGCCAAGGATCTTTATGTAGCAGTTGCTGAAAGTTTGCCAACCACATAGAGTCGGTGGTTTTCTATGTTGCTGGATTGAAAATCCGATAAACATGGCAGTGCAAGCAAGGGTTTTATCGGAGCACAGGGATCAAAAAAGGAACGACAGTGGGGATATATATGATATATCCCAAGTTGACTAGCTGCCGGTTCTTTATTTTCCATTCCACCAAAAATACAATGTGAGGCCCCCCAGTTATAAGTTGGTTTATAAGCCCCAGTAACTATATAGTTATAAGTACCATAAAACCATAGTTATTGGAGTTATAAACCAACTTAGCTATCTTGGGGGCCTCACTTTGTAAATATAATCCCAAATTGACTTCTTATGCTTCAATGGAGTTGAGTATTGAAACCACTCACATCTTGGCGAATTGGTGATGACGTTGCCATTAATGTCGCTGGTCAGTAGCAAATGTTTTGGCTTACTCAGATGTGCATCCCAGTAAATGGTTGTCAACTTATAACCAATGTGTTCAATATACATGTAATGTGGTTAAAACAATAATAAATCATCCCCCCAAACACTACAAATAGGTGGTACAAACCATTCCAAAATGGGTGGTTTATCATTGTCTTAACCACATTATATGAATAATTTACTGCAGATATTCCTGTATCGTATCTAATCAGGGTACGGTTGTTATCCACTTACTATCGTTTTTTGGTCCATTTTGCCTCCAGCGATTTCTCATGGTATCATGATCATGCCCTCATTTTTAAGGTGCATCTATCATTTAGTGGCTTGGAATGTGTGTTATTTTCCATCCTTTTGGGGATGTTAAGATATCATAGAGGATCATATATTTTTCATTTGCGTTGAACCCCATCAGCCAGTGGTTCACTGGTGGTTTGGAATTCCGTCTTATGATCCCCTGGAAAAAGCCAGTGGCAGATCTCGACTGTGAGCGCTGCAGTGGAGAGTCCACTTGGGAGATGAGCATTTTCAGCGTTTGCGCACGGCGATGCAATTGATTGGTGAACACAGTGCTGGTACGTCCCCACCTGTTCATTTGAGTTTGGTTGAAAGTGTCCACACTGAACCGCAGTTCCAGCACTAAAAATACCGCGGTGACATAATGTTTCCGGCCATGTTCTCACACCAGGATATTGCAGCATACTGATTGGAAGAGACCAGGGGATAAGCGCCCCGCCATTCCTCATTTGGGGGATGATCCCATTTTCCGAGCCACGTTTCTAAACGGGACAAGGAACGAAATGAGGATTTGCTAACGAGGGTTATTTTCACCATTTACGATTCATGGCATGATTCTCCACAACCAAATACAATATATATTTAGTTATATATTAATATTTATTTATTATTATCTATATTATATATACATTTTATTATATATATATATATATCCCATTATATTCCCCGTAAAAACAAATTACGATCCCATTACAGGAAGTCCCATTAAGCCACCATTTCACATGGTTGTCCCATCGGATTATCTTCCCATTTTCTTTCCATCTAAAAGAATATGGGACAAACAGTGGGAATAATCAGATATCAATGGAATTATCTCATGATCTTTCCATTCGGTCCCAAAAAACTTTCCCACTTAGATGGGCCATGGGATTGGCGATTCCTGCTTAGTGACTGGGATATAACCCCCTACTATATCCCAATTATAATCCATTTACTAACTAGTTAACTAACTCCATGGCCCATCTAAGCACATTTTTAATTAAATCAACTTTCCCGAGACCTCCAGGCCTCGCGTCGACGGCGAGCCACTGGCTGCAGCTGCTGCAGAGCTGCGGCTGTGCACGCAGCGAACGCATCCCGGACCTCGCGCTGCAGCAGATGTGTCAGGCGCCACGGCTTTGCGCAACGGTGATGCAGGTGGTGAACGCTGGGGTTCATTGAGTGGGTTATACATACATGCATACATACATACTTACATACATACATACTTACTTACTTACATACATACTTACTTACATACTTACATACATACATACATACATACTTACATACATACATACATACCTACTTACATACATACATACTTACTTACTTACTTACATACTTACTTACATACTTACTTACAGACATACTTACTTACATACATACTTACTTTCATACATACTTACTTACTTACATACATACTTACTTACACACATACTTACTTACTTACATAAATACATACTTACTTGCTTACTTAAATACATACTTACTTGCTTACTTAAATACATACATCCATACATACTGACTTTCTTACATACATACTTACTTACATACATACTTACTTACATACATACATACTTACATACATACATACTTACTTACATTCATACTTACTTACATACATACTTACTTACTTACTTACAAACATACATACTTACAAACATACACACATACTTACATACATACATACATACTTACTTACTTACATACATACATACATACTTACATACATACATACTTACATACATACATACATAGTTACATACATACATACTTACATACATACATACATACTTACTTACATACATACTTACATACATACATACTTACATACATACATACTTACATACATACATACTTACATACATACTTACATACATACTTACATACTTACATACATACATACATACATACATACATACATACATACTTACATACATACATACATACTTACATACTTACATGCTTACATACATACACACATACTTACATACATACATACATACATACAAAAATACATACTTACATACTTACATACATACTTACGTACTTACATGCTTACATACATACATACATACATACATACATACATACATACTTACATACATACATACATACATATATATATATACATTATATATACGGGCAACGTATAACGTCCTGACTGTTCTCCCTCACGGGAATCATGGTTAATAAGGGGAATCATCCCAAAAAAAAGCCTTATTTCAGGTTAGTGAATCATTATACTGTGCCCCGATAATACATATATATATATATATACGCACCTCCATGACATATCATGATATATCTATAGTTTATAACTTTATATAGTTGAGAAGGATTTTCATATCGATGGGATTCGTTGAGTAGGTTAACCACACCTACTGGTGCAGGAATTCCATCCACGGTATTTATGGTTCAGAAGTTGGTAAACCTTGAAAAGTGAAATAGAAATATCATGAACATTAATGTTATTATGCTTTAGTAGAAGGGAGTGTTTATAGAATATTAGGGGGACGGGACTGCTGCAACTGTTTGGTGGTTTCAGATATTTCTCGTATTCAACCATAGAGATGGAAGAATGGTCCCCGATTACATATATATATGTATATATATATATATTTGGGATTTGACATCGCCAACCTATTTGATAGGCAAAGTGATAGTGTGTTATGGCAATGCCCTACGTGGTTATTTTTTTGGGGGGGGGCTACATTGCGTAGTAGGGATTAGGAAATAGCCCATCAAGGGAACAGTTGCAAACCGGCCAGTAAACTGGGATGATACCAACCGAAAAGGGGCACTGCTCACTTCGGTTTGTCGAACCAAACATGAGTTTCTCATCATGTGGGCATACCATGTCACCATTGGTTTAGGTGGGTTTCGCTTCTGGAATTCTGGAAGGAAGCAAATTTGAGCTGATTTCGAGGTCCCTCATATTTCAGGACACGCCGAGGCTGTCCAGTTGACCGCTATACATATGGATACAGTTTGCTTTATAGCTAATTATACAACAAACAATGACAACAAATCTAAGGTTGCCTGATTTTGATAGCCAACAGACTGTTAGATGTGCTTGTGTATATCCACCTACATAATGTATGCCCTTTTCCTACCATACTTCGTATGTAGCGCAAATGCTTCTATATACACTGTATGTTGAGATGGTATCAATCTAACAAGTTCATGAAGAAACAACTATATGATATCAATTGCTTCTAGCAATAAAATGTCTCCATCACCTCTATCACACTAGCCACCTATTACTATTGTATCTATTGTATATTCTGTTCCAGGATGCGCAGCTATCCATCCATTCTTATGGCATGCTGTGCAGCAGATGTTTTCTGTTATGTGCTGATTGTTTGTAGTTCTTTGCAAGTCTCACAGGAAAAAATGAATCCTGTCACAAGAGTCTGTAGATGCCAGTGGTTTATTTATGACAGCAAATGATAGCCTTTGAAGGTGAACTCTATTTTGGGCTCTAAAATAGCGGTTTTAAGCCTACTTTTGTCACAAAACACTGTAAATACCAGTATGTTTGACCATTTTTAGAGCAAAAATAACTCCCCCATAATAAGGGGCTGTTCTATTCTTTTTTGGGGCCCTTTGATCAGCAAATCAAAGACAAGGTGAATGGGCCAATTTGAACGATTCACAAGAAGTGGACTTGATTGGCGCTTTTTTGCCATCAACTATTTCAATTTCTCATAGCAATCAAAGCTTCATAATTCCATGAAAACATAACCCAACCAACTTCTTTGTTTTAGAAAAATGTTTCACAAGTTACCTATCACTTATCGACACTAGATGGAGCATTTTCCCCAAAATAAATAAATAAATAAATATATATATATACATATATATACATATATATATATATCATAATATATATCATAAATATCCATGAAATGTTCATTAAAGTCCCATAAGTATCCATTAAATGAGCCATATCTTCCATGGAAAATCGACCAATTTTCTCCCCGTCCCCACGGCTCAGGACGGCTGGCCCACGGCTCCACGAGGCGCGCTGCTGGTCGCCGAGCGCGGAGACTTGGAGCTGCTGCAGCGGCCAACAGCGCCGGGTGCCACGCGCAAGGCGGGCGAGACATGGGGCAAGTGTCATCAATGGGATGGTTTATATACACATATATACAATAAACATTATATATATATACATATCTATATACATATATTTATATATTTATTTAAATGATTGTGAATATATTATTTTTAGTTTATATGACTATATATATATATACACTTTATATATGGTAGGTTATGCTAGTGATTATTCATGATTTTAATATTTGGCAGTGTTTATCAATGGCCTACGATATGTTATTATCACTGGGGGGAGTGTCAATGACAATGACATTGTGGTAGTGGTAATTATGGTAGTGATCTATATGGACATGTCATGGGGTGGCTTCTATATGTGGTCATTTGAATAATGTCCTCATATCTGGTAGTCAATGATAATGACATTATTGTAGTGATCATTATATCTGATCATGACATTATTAACCAGAATGTTTTACAGGAATGGGGGTTTCCTAAGTCATGGGGGTACCCCAAGAACTGGATTGTTTGTTCCATGGGAAAATCCGGAAATAGATGATCACTAGACTGGGTGGGTGTAACCCTTTTTATTTTAGGAAAGCCCCAAATGGATTAAATTAACGATCAGGGATTCTTAAGATGATACTCAAAGTTTCTACGTGGAGTTTTAAGATGTGTTAAACCCATGATATTGTTCTAACCGGCAAATGGATAATGTTAATGACATATGATAATGTTTGATTTTATTGACTTTTGGGATATTACTACAAGGTGGTGCTCCATAGTTTGAAAAGTTAACGCAAACAAGTTCAATTTACTGTTGTTTTTTAACACATATATCTATAGTTATATATGTGGGGTTATAAACCAACAGCTGCTTGTAGTAGGTTACTTTATCTGTGTATTTTATACCATATACAACTAACAAATGGATCTTAATGGAATAATAGGATCATATAGCATTAAAACATGTCCCATATGCTCCATGTATGTAAGATTTACCCACAGAACTGGATCAGTTTGGGTAAATGTTGTTAGCTATGCCGGAGATGGATGATAGCTCTGACACAGAGGGAGAGGTCTGTGATTTTGGGCTTTATTGTATTCTTGAGGTGATCAAGTGCGATTCGATGAATGGGTAGATCGGTGTAGCAGAAATGGTTAATTAATGGTTGAACTTCACCTGCTGTTTGCCAAACCATATGCTACAGTCTTTGAAAAAAAACAATGTGATTGAGACCAACAAATACGGATTTGGTATGGTTTAGCGAACACATGGTGAATTGAACAATAATACCAGCTGGGTTTACCATCATTGAACTATGGCACTCCGCGGTTCTAATCAGCAGTGAGGGCTATTGCTGGTACATGTTGGGAGCCAACATGAAGCCACACAAAAACAAGTCGAGGAGCATCCCCACTGGGACTGGCTCTACTCGGGGTTGCACCCCAGGCACTAAGCAGGTGGATAATAACCAAATGATACCACAAAAAAATAGTGCGGTTAGATGGGGATCATATCTATAATTTATCATACAGAAGCTATGGAAGGTGGACTATTTATAGATGATTTGCCTATTAAAAACAGTGGTGGTCCAGTTCGCAGCTTGCACGAATGACAATAGAGGGTTTATCCCAATAATCGGATAAGTTTCCCATGAAAACCATTTTTGTTCATGGTAATTGGATGATTTTCCCATGATTTTCCTCCATTATATAGGATTTCCAAGGACATCCTCCCAGCCACGAAAGTCCCAGCAGCGAAGCAGCAGGATGGTGCTCCCATGTCATCCTACGGCTGGAGGGGCGATTGAAAGGTCAGCTGGGCGGAAATCATAAGGGTTTCTTTGGGGGATCAAGATAGGTAAGTTGGCTATAACGAAGATTTATGGTGGGATATATCTAGTTGCCATGGGCGCTGCAAGGCGCCTGGGTGTTTTGTTGTTTTCTTGGTGTTTTTTTGTTTGTTTTTTGGTTATTTTTTTAACGTGGGGTGGGATGTTAACGTTCATGTGACGCTCATGATGTTACGTTGATCATGGGGTGGGGTGGGGTGGGATGTTAACGTTCATGTGACGTTGATCAGTGGAACACAGACCATTGATTCAGATTGGAAATCGTTGAAGTGCTGGCTTCCCAAGGAAGCTTCCAAAAAAAGAGGCACTGTTGACTTGGTGACCCACTCCTCAAAATTGGAGCAAAGGGTCTGGCAATGGATGTGGCGCAGAACCGAACTGCGCAGCAGTAATTCAGAGAAACTTGCAGCCATGAGCAAATTGTTCGATGGTTGAAGTAGTTTTCAGAATTTTCAGGACGTCCAAAAACAGGCGTGCAACACTGCATAGGCAATTCCAATGGGAAATTCACGCGCACGCCCTCAAAACCACCAGGCGCCTATCAGCGCCGTTCCCTAGTTAGATGGGTTTAGATATATATATATATATATACATGCTTAGATTGGATATATCATGATACATTATATCTATAGTTTGATTGGGTTGCTCAAAACCAACTTATAATTGGGGGGCCCTTCCTGCAAGATATCATCAAATGATCCTAATTAGGATTTGGGAGGGTATCCAGGCTAGCAATGATAATGCTGCAAGGGCAGCAAAGGCAGCGAGTTACTTGTGCCGTGAAAGAGGGCGCAAGAGACAAATAACATGAAATAGTTTGGATTTATGGTAGTCTCAAACTACAGTCAACTTTAGAAACAAACTTAAAAGTCGAGGATTCCACTTGTGAACATATTGAGGTGTCAGGTGTGTGTAGTACTGGCCGCATATTTTTGGCGGAGTGTTTGGGAACCATGCTTCAATCTGTTCTTCTTTACCATTTGGGAATATTTGGGAAACCAAAAAGACCACTTGCTTGCTGAATCACAGGATTTGTTTGTTTTTCTTTATGTGTGTGTGTTGTGTTTTGAAGGTGTGCCCGGCCATCCAGTAATCAAACGTGGCACTTGAAATTCCCTATCAAAAATGGAGGTTTCAAGCTGGGAAAATCATCGAACTTAAATGGCAGATTTTCCAGCAAGTGATGTTTGATTATCGGAGGGTATCATTGTGTTCTTCATTTGTAGACCTTCAAATTTTGAGCGGCTTTATTTGTGGGCTGTTCAGCTGGTGAAAAGATCACAACGAGCGCTTACCCCTGCCAAATTAGAGCATCAGACATAGGATAGGATTTTGGAGGTCCAAGCTTGTGAGAGCTGTAGGTTTACCCTTTGTTTACCAAAGATGTCACTGGAAAGTTCACCATTTAGAATTTAGTACAAGTGATTTTCCCATTAAACTTTCCATTTGGAATGGATTGTCCATTGCGATATTTGATTATCGGACGGTATTTGCATATCCCCCCCTTGATTATCGGACGGTACCTGCATATCCCCCCCTAAACCATTGAAATGTAGCTATATAGATATCCTCATTTTTGATCTGTCGTTTCCCATGTTTTCTAAGCTAGCCCTGCCAATATTCCCCAGTAGATTAACATAGATATGGAACACCCACTATTTGTACATCATGGTTTCTATGGAAAGCATTGGAAAACCCCTATGATTCCACATATATCTAGAGCTACTTAGATATGCATCCCAGGGATTGTAAGTGATTTGTAATTCATTGATCTATCTAGCTGGGGATATTCCACCTGCAATTGGGCAAAAATATGGCTTTTCTCCACTCGCAAAATGTTGCACGGACTTCCCAAGGTCTGGCACGCGCTTCACTTTTCGCGGAGAAAAAGAAGCAGATCTGGGGCGGGGAAACAAACCGGTGAAATCGGGCTGAAATTGGCGGGATTCATCCGTTCATGTTGAATGTAAGTTGATTTATGCTTTGAATCCAATTGTATGGGAATACTGTATATATATATATATATTAATTTACCTATTAATATACATATTAGTATATACATATTAATATACATATTAATATATATATATATATATACTCACTGGTGCTAAACGTAGGGAAATTTCGGGAATGATCCAGCTCATCATTCCCATCGATTTCCTACGGTCAAGCCATTAGGCTCATCCTGTGGCGATGGTCAGACTCTCAGAAAAAAAAATCGACGTACGGCGATGCCGAAATGAAAGCGGCCAACCTTTTTTCATGTCGTGGTGGTACAGGTGTAGACCTATTTCATGTGTATATATATATATATATTCTAGTCATATATGATATTATATATATATTATAGTTATATATATATATATTATAGTCATATATATATATATTATATATATATTATTATATTCATATATATATATATTATGGTCATATTTATAACATATATATATGCTATAAAAAGATACATATGCACAGACAGAAAGAAAGAAACATGAATAACAACACAAAAAAAGAAAGCACAATAGATAGATATAGGTATACATGTAGAAATGGATACCATGTTTTACATGCATTATGTAGATTTTATGTGGTGTCTATCTATCTATTTACCTTTCTGTCTATCCATCCATCCATCTCTGTCTCTCTCTCTCTCTATCTATCCATCTATCCATCTTCATCCCAACAGTTTGCCATTTGGACCCGCAGGATGAAGCGCCAGCTGGGAAAAGGAGCAGCCGAATCATAAGAGACTGAATTCTAAGACACCAAGAATGTTGGGTGAATGGGTCTGTCCGAAAAACGGCGATATCGTCATATATCAGTATATTAGATTAATATTAGTATATCTGTTGATTTGCATTTTATGAAGTTCTTGAGGGAAATGATGACAAACCATTAATTTTGGGCTTCATTTGGATATCACCAACAATAAAGTGATTTAACCGGCAACATTTCGAGCGACCTCAAGCTACCTCGCTGTCATGGCTTCACCAACAAGCGGAGTGTGAATTGACGGATATCCTAAGCCCATGACCCACTGGTTGGGCAACCCTGACATAGCGCAGGATGGCAATGCCGTTTGTTGAACGCTTGTCGGGTGAAAGCATCTAATGATTAAAGGGTAATATAGTGCAGATACGTGTGGTCTGTAATATGTGTAATATGTGTGTAATATATGTATGAATAATCAACTATATAATATATATATATATACACCCTTTGGTTAAAAAACAAACACATATAGCTATGAGAATGAAACACCGGCCATTTGTTTATTGGGTAGTGTGTATTTATAAATCATGTATACAAAGACCATTGTCATTGCGATGTTAAATTACCAGAGGGTATATAATATATACATTCCCGCGCATGGATTTGAACACACTAGAGGTTATGGGTTTTAGATTCTTTGTCATGACTGGCGCCAGGACTGCGTGCAAGTATGGCTCGAAGTGCTACCAGAGGCATTGCTAATGGGTGCTATCCCCATGTCGAAGGTATTAAAGATCAAACGCCGGTGAACTATATATATATATATACCTCGACCCTCCAAATCCTAGAAAAATATAGGTGTTTTCGGAATTTGACCTATATCGACTGATTTTACCCAAAACACCTAGATCTTGGATTTTAGGACTTTGATTGCATGTTTTTGGGTTTGGTGAGACAAAGGCCAAAAAATGTTTGCAGCGCATCAAATGATTGGGGATAAAACCCGCAAAACCCCGCAAAAAACCCGCAAAAAACCCGCCAGAACCCGCAAAAACACGCAAAAACACGCAAAACCCGCAAATCCTGAAATCTCGTTGTTTTAGGTAGTTTTCGGATTTTTTTGGTTGTTCCAAAAATCATCACGGTTTGTGTACCCGGCTGTAGTGCTGAGATTTTCCCAGAAACATACATGTTTGGAACAAAGTGAATCATTTTTTGGTTTGTTTGACCTATCTTCTTAGAACGACCATTTTTTCCTCGGCAGTGGAGGGTCGAGGTATATATATGTATATGTGATGTGGTCCCCCCGGTTATAAGTTGGATTATAAACCCCATTCACAAAAGTTACAGGATGTGACAGGATGTTATAAGTATCACAAAGCATAGTCATTGGCATTATAAGCCAACTTGGCTATTTAGGGGGCTCCACTTTGTGTGTCTATATTGAAATATACACATTTTGTGTATGACTGTGGAACTATGGGACCCTGTTGCTGGTGATTATCCGTGAGTTTTTGCTTAGTGACTTGTGCATTTTTGCCATGGACAGTTCACCAGAAATGGGGAACTGAGAAGTTTTTCTGTCGGGGGGGGAATCAGCAAATTCCAAATTATCCTGAAGCAGAGTTGGACTGGTTTCAATTTAATATGCCCAAACAAATGATGGCCTAGAACTTTCTTTGGTTTGTTTGGAAATGGCGGATATCTTGATTGTGGATTGGGGCAGCTAACAGTCCTTCATATTGCAGATAGTATCGCCGACTTGCCGACCATTCGGATTTCCTTCAAGAGATTCAACACCAGCCTTGGTTGAAGGACACCAAATCAATAGTTCCTCCACTGCTCATGGTTTAACGCATCAATTTATTATATTTGTTCCTATGCCGCAATGCCTACCTGGGATGATTATCCCCACTCCTCGGGTAAGTAAACACGCAGGAAAGCACCATTTGTTCAGGGTGTTTTGCAACGGGGTTTCAGCCGCATATGGTTCTGGTCAACTAATCGTTTGAATCAAAAGCTCACTTGGTAGTAATACCCAAAAAATAGAAGAATAATTCACTCATAGAATTGGATGATGGGAAAATTTACAGGAAACCCCTTTATTTGATGGTAAAAACCATGGTTTCCCGTTAAGATTTTCCCTTAAACCAATCCATTGATTCACCATAATTTACTGCGACTGGGTATTTGAGCAGTCTCGTTTTTGAAGTTGACACACGCAGCCAGGGACAAAGGACACCTCGCAAGGTTTGGGAGCCTGGGCAGACGACGTGTGGATTGAAGCAACAGGGTTTGCATAGGAAAGGAGACCCTCCAAATACCATTAAAGATACCCTCTGGTAAACTAACATAGCTATTGAAAATGGCCATTTATAGTGGATTTTCCCATGAAACATGGTGATTTTCCATAGTTATGTTAGTTTACCAGAGGGTAGGGTTTCAATATACCTTCTGGCAATCAAACATGCTGGCCAGCTGGAAAATCTCTACAAATGGAGGTTTAATGGGATAACATGGAAATTAAGGTTGTTGTCTACTGCCACATTTGATTACCACAATATACCCATTTGTCGGACGTTTACCAATTTTCATGGGCACCTGGAGGGTTTAAGAGTTAATGTATGGACACCTGGGTTGTTCAATTTCAGGGAGATGGTAATTGGAGGAACCACTGACTCTAGTAGAATATACATACATATATACATATAATATATATATATGTATGTATGTATCCGCGTGTGTATGTGTGTGTGCGCGTGTTTTGCGGCAACCACCCCAATTAATTGACCTGGGGTATCTTGGGGTTGTCAGGATTGATATGGGTCTGGATTGCTTCAACCCTGAACAATGTCCTTTATTTACAGTTGCTGGAATTCGCCAAAGCACGGAGGCAGTCCCAACATGTTTGCCACACCTGTCGCTGTATCACTGCTGGTGATCGGATGATGTGGGATGCACAATATTGTGATGTGTCCAAACAATGCTAAAGAGTACTGAAAGACCAAAAGGTCCGCAGATTTGCTTTTGAACCTTAATGTGTTAAAATTCTGGAGTCCATACTTTTGGCCTGTGCTTTGTATACTATATTGGTGTGGTTCTTATGTCCTCCATGATTCCTCCACGTGCGACTACTGGAGCAAATCATAGTGACTCCTTCATCAGGACCCCTGAGCATCAGCGCTTTCTGCTCCCATAGGTAACTCTGTGGAGCATTGTGGAGCCTCATTCTGGAATGCCCCTGGAAATGGATATAGTCTTGGATCTGTCCATTTTGAAATCCCTTGTTGGTTGCATATTCACCAGGGAGAGTCTTGGATTCTTTCAACTTCATCCCGGGTTTGATGGACACTGAGGTTTGCACACCCGGGGGACCGCAACTACCGCATGGGTTTGGTGCTGTCTGAGCCTTACGGCTGCGTGGACCCGGGGCGCTATTCGGCGAAGGGACGAAGGCACAGCTTTGACAATCGTCGGGATGGTTTACCATCCGTTTTTGGCATTACACTGAATACTGTAATCAATCAATGTCACCTTGTAATACAACAAATTAGTATACAGATGAATGATTAATTCTTACGCAAGTCCCAAAACAAGAGGCTTCTTTTCGATCTTTTGGGCCAGTTTCAGGTTTCCAGAGGATCAGTCGCCGGAGTTTGAGTCTATGTGGCAGAGCTGTGGCATGTTTGGGGCTGCAGCGAATGCAGATATGATGGAGAGAGCCATGGAATATGGGCCCATTTGTAGATGTAATAGCATTTCATAGATATATTTGATTACCTAGGCATATTTGATTTATGATGTTGTGTTTCATCCGCGGGAGCGTTCGTCATCCCTGTCGGTCAAAAAGAGTCATGAAACACGTATCCCTTTCAATCTCATCTCTTCCCTATTAAAAGACACTAACATAAGAATCAATAACATCTCATCTAATCCTATTGACATTATTAATTCAATCTGTGACATTTATTAAACATCTCATCTTCCCCACTAATATAAAATAGAATGACACAGTTTCGGAAAAAATCTGGAGATATGCTTTTGGATATGGGAACCTCCAGTAAGATAAACAAACTTCAATATTTACATCGATTATTACAGTATTTTGGACTAGGGTTGGCTGTTACTAAATTATCCCATATCATACAAGCTATGCCGTATGCTGTGCCACAGGCGTTTAGACTCCAATGGATGGTA